TGATTTGATTAGCTTTTTCATCCGAATAGTTGGCCAATTCTCCTGCTACAGCTTATTTAAGTGATTCCAATTTATGAGCATCTCCACTGAGCTGGTGGGAAAAGTGGAAAGTTAGCCAAGGGCAAAGTGAGATGAGTATCAGTCTGCCTGGAGGCCCCTCCCCTGCCCAGGTCCGCAGGTGGGAACACCTGGTGTGAAGGCAGCCGCAGCCCTGCCCTCGAGATACATGCCACCGGCTCTGTTTGCTCAGAGGTCACTTTGCTGAGGCAATCCTTCCTAGACACCCAGGCCCACCCCCACCCTGACTCCACACCCCCTCTTTATGACACGGTGCAATCTGCTGCCTCTTAAAAGCACTAGTCAGTTTCTCGGAAGGACCTAAGAAAGGTGCAGTCTGATTTTACGTAGGGAGTTCCGGAATCCAGACCAGGGCTCCCATATTCTCCCCACTGAAGACCCTGACCATGCTGGCCACCAGCCAGGCCCCAAAGGGAGCAGGCTGGAGGACAGCCCCTGACTCCCAGCCCTGCAGGCGAGCAGCTTGACCTGACCTCTCACAGGCTCCACTGCTAACTCCATTACCCTGGCGAGACCAAGAACATGCAGAGGGGAAATTTTATGATGGTTAAAGACACAAACCTCAGAGTCCCAGGCACTTTGACTTGAATCCTTGAAATTCTCCATTAAAAAGCCTTGGGGGACATGACTGATCTTTGCTGAGCCTCAAACTTTTCATCTGCAAAGCAGGAGGACAGAAACAGCCTCCCCTACCCAGGACATGCAGGATAAGGATCACAGATCATTAAGCCATCCGCACTGCAGCTGTTTGATGGAATGACTTTATCTGCTGCAGGTGAACTTCAAGTCTTAGGGGTTTTTTCGGCTGAAAGGCATGTGGGACCTTAGTTCCCTGGATCAGGGCTTCAACCAGTGCCCCCAGCAGTGGCAGCGTGGAATCCTACCTACCACTGGACCACCAGAGAAGTCCCTACACATCCTGGTTAAAGGAAGGTGATGGGGCTGAGTGGCAGAAACTTGGTGGAGTGACCCCCAGTGTAGTTAAAGAGTCTTCCTGTCCCTCCCCCCAAAAACGACCAAGGGGTGCTTCACCTGTGTATTTCAACCAGGTATTTTATTGTTCTGGCAACTGCAAAATATACAAATTTCCGACAGGCTTTCCGTCTGAAAGCTGGCCTAGCTTCATCCCAGGTAATTAATTTGGACAAATTTATAGAGAACACAGAGAAGTCAGAAGTCACACGTAAAAGGCCCCCAAGCCCACCAACCAACAAAATGCAATCTATACAGCTTTCCATCTTCAGGATCCCTTATACATATTAAATAAATAAATAGCACATCTGCTATCAAAATAATAAAAAAATAAATTTCAAGTATTAGAAACGAAAACGTCATTGGCGTGGTTCAAACAGTCTTTCTTCCCCACCCCCAAATGAAGAGCTTTGCCCACAGTCTCAAGACAGAAGAAGGGGAGGGGCAAGCCCACCCCAAAATGAATAAGCGAAGTTAAAAATATCGGTCCCAGAAGCTTCTGGGGGAGGAGAGCGAGAGCCAATGGTCAACGAGGCAGAAGCCCCATGACCGTGGCTCAGACACAGCCTCCGCCCGCCCCTCCCTCCCTGGAAGTCCGGTCTGTGGCCCCTGGACCTCCCGCCTCTGCTCTCTGCCTGTCCCCCGTCCCTTCCCCCACACTGGGGTTCTCTCTCCACATCAAGGCCCCTGCAAACCAAGGTCCTGGTCGGGCCAGGCCTCCTTTGTAAATGCACCAATTTCGGGCAGTCAGAGGCCAGGATAAGCACTCAGATCAGCCGTCACGAGTCAAAAGTCAGGGTCAGCTCCAACCACCAGAGGAGGAGCCAGAAGGTGGACGTAAGCGCCGTCCTCAGGAGGAGGGAAGCAGGCCCCTCCATCTAAACACAGACACACGCACACAGACACACGCACACAGACACACGCGACAAGGCAGCAGGAAAGAGGGAGAGTATCACAGGCCCTGCACAGGAACACAGACAGACAGACGTCGCCTAGGGAAGACGGCCAGTGATGGGAAGGGAGGGTTTGAACAGTTTAATGTGAAACCCACACACCTGATGGTAGGGCCTCTGAATCGCGCTCCCGCTCCCCACTGAGTCCCAATCAGAGAAACATGCATTTTTCTTCTAAAAGCTCCAAACAAAAACAGCTCCTCTCCCCACTCCAGGCTCCAGCTGTCTAAACAGCCCCCCACCCCCATGACTACTTAACAAGCTAAGAGGGGGAAGGAGCGGGGAGGGCAGGAAGAGAAGGTGACCTTTGGCACCGGCTTCTAGAGATTCTGAAAAGGGTCACTGGATAAGATCTACCTCCCCGTTCACACCGCTTCTCCTGGGCCTTGACCCCCTCAAGTGCCCGGAGGCCCCAGGGGAAGACCAGCAGGCAGAAACTACAGGTGTTCAGAACCACGTGTCCACAGCCTGCTCTGAGCAACCCCCACTAGAAATGCCACCGGTGCCTCGAAGGCAAGCGAGGACATCCTCTCCTCCGGACCCGCCCAGGGCAGCAGGCTCCGTGCTGAGGACACAGCAGGTCTCCGCATGCACACAGGGTGCCGCTCCGCACCTTCCGGCCAGCCTCCCGGAGGACAAGGCCACGAGCACAGCCTGGCTCGGGTCACTGTCCCCACCCAGGAAGCACAGGAGGGGACGAACGTCCCGGAGGAGGGGGCCAGGTCGTTGTTCCGCATGCTGTCGTCCGGGGTCAGTCTTGCAACAATGCCAGTGCTCGCTGCCTGGCCATTTACAGGGTAGGGGGGTCCCCTCACCTCCCCAGAGGCACACCCAGCTCCCACAACCTTCCAGAGCTCCAGCCCCAAGGGCACAAACCCCGAGCAACTTCAGTTGCCGAAGGTGAGATGTTTCAGGTCCCATTCTCTGCCGTTAAGAAAGTGCACAGGCCAGCAGGCCCGGGAGCTGAGCGGGGAGCTTGCGCTGGAAGGCGAGGCTCCCGGGGCTGTTTCAGCAACATATTTCCTCCTGCCAGACTGTGCCATGCCCTCCTCAGAGGCAGGACAGACCGGGGAGGGTGGGCAACACGCAGAGGGCTGCTGCCTGGCTGACCATCAGGTCCAGCACGGGGCTCCTCTCTTCAGCTGCAGGACCGGCTCTCCTGGGTAGGCCCCACCCAGCTCAAGCCATGAGCTTCCCTTCAGGAGGCAACGTCCAGGCCAGATGCACAAAGAGCCTCTTGGAAGCTTTCATTCCCTTGACCCTCAGCGGCTGAGAGCCTGGCCCCCCTTAAGGTTAGGACTCGGGGGCCAGCATCACCCCCAGCGGGGCAGCTACAGAACGAGATGAACAAGCCCGCACGGAGGCACCACGTCCTGCCTCCTCTGCGCATGGTCCTTCCCGAGCCACTTGGGATCCATGAGGTGAGCGGCCCGACGGCTGGGGGAGCAGGGGCAGGCGGGGCCCGGTCCCCCTGGAGCAGCAGCCCCTCCTCCGCGCTGCCCTCTGCTCCGCTCCCCTCTGTGAGACGTCCTCAGATCGCTGGCCGCGGGCAGACGGAAGGGCGGGAGCCGGGTGAAGGGGGGGCGGTCAGTGCGTCCTGGAGGCGTCCACGCTGCCCGGGGAGCCTTTCATGTTCTGCTCTCGGGAGAGAAGAGGGGGAAGTCTGTTACCATTCCTGCTGACTAGGCTTCACAAGCAAAGATGAAGTTGGCAACTGAGACGCGGGCCCCCTCTCCCCAACAGAGAACACGGCCCGGAGGAGCAGCATCACCAAATACAGTGTGGGCCAGGAACGTGGTGGTGGCTGAGCCTGGGCTCCCACGGGGAGAGGGGCCGGGAAGGGCCCTGATCCACACCCAGAAGAGGCGGGCGGGGGCGGGTGGGGGGGCGGGCAGCTCCTGGGGTCCGAGCTGCTCCGAGGGGCCCTGGGTGCCAGCGCCTGGGGCTCCTCCAGCTACCGCCCCTTGAGAGCCCAAGGCTGCGCTTGTCCCCACCCGGGGCACTCTTGCTGGTCTCGCTACCAGGCAGGGGCGGTGGCGGGTGGTTAAATCTGGAGAAGCACTAGGGCCCTCCTCCCAGCCCGGCCTAAGCGGAGCTGTACCACAGCCCTGGGACCCGGGACACAGCTGGGACGCCGGAACTCAGGCAAGGAGCTGGGCAGAGAAGATGCATGTGGGTAAAGCTCTCATCCTGTTCTAATAAAAGAAATCCTGCCCATAAGCCCCGCCCCGAAGGAGCTGGGCCAGTACCAAAGCCCCTTAAAAAATTGTTTTCCATCGTCTGGAGGAGATGATGCCCACCCCACACAGCTGTGGGCTCCCTAACCCACCCTCCTTAACCTGCCCTGGAGAAAAGGGAAACACAATTTCTAAAAGTGTTCTCCTCCCAGACTGTCTTAGAGAGGCGGCAGGGCAAGTGGAACCCAGGAGGACAGAAACACAAGCATCACCACAGCCTACTCCCCTCCCGACGGAACTAAGAATCTCTGTAAGAGAGGCCCATCGCAGGGCTGGCGGCACGGAAGCCGGGACCCCACCTGAGCCTGCTTTCAGCCGGACTCAGGGCCCTGGCCACCGACCTTCCAACCACGAGGGCATCAGACCAGCCCCTGTGAGCCAGGCATCTCCAGCAAGGTCCCTGAGGCTCAGAACCAGGGAGGACTCGGTCAACCTGTGGGGTCAGAGACGGAGGTCTGGCTCCCACCCGCCCTGGGACATCACACGCCCGAGGCTGCGGCACCCACGAATGATGGTGATGCAATGAGGACACTGGAAACCACCGGCCACAGGGTGCCCGGGGCTCTGGACACACGGAGACATGGGGGTCGCCCTTGAAAGAACACACATGCTCCGGGGCCTGGGTGAATGAGTCACAGACTTCACAATGGCCAGTCTCCACGCAGACCATGACGCCCCGAGGGCTGAGATGCCATGACGCAGAGAGACGTGGAAGGAACGGAGACCCGCATGCAGGGAGCGTTTTTTTACCTTGCCAAGGTTAGTAAGGAGAGAACTTTGAGAAAATATGACAGACAGTTCGTCTTTCAAGCATAGAAGGGGGAAGGAAGAAACATGTCGGGAAAGAAAAACAAAACAACATCTTTAGTAGGATTGTCTTCTGAGCGTGCATTTGACATTTCAAAGTCGAGGAGGCATGGCAACCCACTCCGCTGTTCTCGCCTGGGAAACCCCATGGACAGAGGAGCCTGGCGGGCTACAGTCCATGGGGTTACAGGAGAGTCGGACACGACTGGGTGACTAAACCACAGCGTGGCTTTGTCAGTTTCTGTTATGTGAGTGCTATAAGAAGCTAAATAATTAAACACATTATTTATGACTAAAAAAATAAAAATAAAAAAGTCAAGGGTGCACCGTGAGGGCCAGACGGTCTCCGGCCCCCGGGGAACGGGCTGCAGGGTAGGTGCTGTGTCCCACCTGTCTGCCACGTGCCTGCTTTACCAGGACACCAGCATCCTGGGGCCACCACCCTAAGACCCCCAGGGCACCCTGTCCCCAGTCCCTAAGGACTCCTGCGGCCCACGAGAAGGAACCCCCAGCCTGGGCAGGCCGCCAAAGCACAGGGCACTGAGCCTCCCTCAGGAGCAGCTCTTGTCCACCAGGCACTGGCCCCGAGCCAGGCATTTTGCTAAGCGCTACACCCATATTCTCATCATCACGACACCTGAACACTGGCACATCTGCATGGACGCAGAGAATACATTTTCACTGAACTGGAGGTGTTCTGACCAAAGGCAGTACCAGCCTTAGAAAGAGACAACTTCAACCTCAAAGGGTGGCTGAATGGCCCTCTCTAAGCAGGAAGATGTACTTCCTGGCAACACCATGCTGTGGATCAAAAGGAAGAGGACATGCACAGATGCAAAACTGTAAGGTTCCAAACCCCGAAGGCTGCTTTTCACACAAGAACATTCGCCCCTGGGGCATTCTATGTGTCAAAGGGGTCACCGACACAGGACTGTTACCCTTACAGACTGACTCTGATGGGCAAACCCACCATTAAATAAACACGTCGCAGCCGAAGGAAGCGGCTGCAAAGCAGAGGCTGCAAATGCCGGATGCCTGGGATGGGCAGGTGAACGGGACCCACGCAGCTCTGGAAGCCAGCAGAGAGAAAGCAGCCAGCCTTTGGGACTGGACAGCCATTCAACCACTGGTTCTGCTGAGGGCTGGTGGGGTGATTGTGGGCGAGGCCTCACCCTCATCTGGGAAGTGGGACCAAGAACTGCCCTGCAACCTCCTGGGTTTATTTTAAGGACTAAAGACTCGGGACGTGTACAAGCCGAAAAGTGACAATGTGTATTTCTGGGCAGGTGGTATCACTCAGTCCAAACACAATGCCCAGCAGCTCCTATTTTCCAAGAATAAGCCATGTTTCTGTGTGGATGAGCCTAGCCAGCGAAGGGGAAGATAGAGCAGGTGTGACTCAAGGAGTTAGGGTGATATTTCAGGGTGTCTCTTGTTAAAATTTGTGATATAACGGCCTCAGTTCATTCCTGTGGCTGGGGACCACCAGAGCAGAGGAAGCACTGAGTTTATCCAGTCGAATTAACCAGCGCTGAATTAACCAGAAACTGCAGAGAGACAGCCGCACCCCATCCTGGACATGACCGTAAAGGCCGGGAGTGTTCTGATCCAGGACAATACGATGCGGAGCAGTGGTGTCCAAGCAGACCACTCCGAAGCGGGGTTCCCGGAGCCCTTGAAGGTGAGGGATCCCTGCAGGACAGGAGGGGGCACTCGGGTCCTCCAGAGTTCACTGTGCAGGTTAGGCTCTGCATAAACTTTGCTCTGCACAAACTTCCCTCTCAAAATGGTAGGGCTCTTGGGGGAGGCCCAGAACATAAAAGACAACATCAAAAGGCAAAGACCCAGCTTCCCACCAACGTCTGACGCTAAGAGGGAAAAAGCAGACCGATGTCTAGCCACGGAGAACCGCAAACACTGACAGTCACCCCCGCCCCGAGAGGGAGCGAGGAGAAGGCGGCGGCGGCCAGGACGGCAGGAGGACGCACGAAACACCCACGCCCTGCGTCCTGTCCTGAAAATTCACGGACCCATTCTCCTTCCTCCTTCAGATTTTACAAAAACTGCCGTTAGCCTCACCACAACAGGCAGGAGGGCCAAGCTGGCAAGCAAGGAGAAAGAGATGCAAAGAGCAAAAGAATTCAGAGAAAAATACTTACAAACAGGCTTTCCCTAGCAAAGGCTGCAGAGAGAAAAGGTGGGAGAGAGTCAGTGGGGGGAAGGGAGAGGGCCTGGGTCACTGGGGACCAGGCATTCTCTGTGGGACGGAGCCCTGGGCACCCCCAGCCTGGCCAGTGGCTTCCAGGTCTGCAACCCCGCAGGATGTGCCCGCCCGCCCTGCCCACGATCACCAGGGGCAGCACGGCCTTGACTGTCACCAAACCCCGCCCAACAGGTCCCTGCGTCTGTGACTGTGGCCTCTCATCTTCCATCTGTGACCCCACCATTTACACCAACACACTATGTCACTGACATGCCACTTTGGCTTTAAGTTTTCACAAAATCACCGCTGATGTTGAGCCCGAAAGGACCACTAATTAGATGTCTTCCGGCCAGTCTGTCTCCCTCATTTAACAAAAAAAACAGGGAGACTGAAGGCCAGGGAGGTGACAGAACGTGACATAAAACCCCAGGGCTGGCACCAGGGCGGGACACGACCACTGACACACTCAGCACGAGTCTCCCCATGTTCAGCCCGTGGCAGGAGCTACTGCTCCCCCATCCCACAGATGAGAAAACTGAGGCCTGAAGCAGGCCGATGGCCTGCCCGGGGCAGCACCGCACCGTCACCCCTGCCCCCCACCCCAGGCACACACACAGCAAGTTTCCAGACAGCACAAGGTTTAAAGGAGTTTCGAGGAAACTCAGGAAAAGCCTGTGGACCTTCAAGTTCAACTTGAACTTGAACCCGTGACTTCTATGTCAGAGGCCATGCGTGGTGGGCGGCGGTTAGGGGAGACCCCTAGGTGGGACCCAAATCTGTGCCTGGGGATTTCTACATCTCACGCCCCGGCCAGGATTCCCGAGTATTGTTGAGGAAGATAGTGGTGTGCGGGAAACAAATTTTACGGCCCAACAGCCAGCGTCTTTCAGCCTAGCATCACAACGGATGAAATAACCTAAGAATTAATCCAGTTTGTTTTCTGCTTTGGGGTTGTTTTTTTTTACTATGCTTTAGGAGAAAGCATCTATTCCAGGTCCTCTGGCCTGGGTCCCAGTCTGTCCACGCCAGCTCCAGACACATTTCCCATCTGACAAAGCTTTTCTCTAAGAGGAAGCAGTGGGGACAGAAGAGATGTCCCCAGGCCACACGGAAGCCAACAGCCCTCAGCCGGATGGGGGCTGAGCTGGTCCTGAACTGGGGGGTTGCCTTCAACTTTTAGAAGAAACTGTCCATATATGTGAATGGGTCACAGACACTCGGCCATCTCTTTGCTTGGCCTGGTTCTGCCCAGGGAAGGCCACCTCCCCAGAAAGGGCGTGTCCGTGCAAAGCCAAGGTCTCGGGAATGGATCCGGGGGTCCCACACTCAAAGGGACGGCCCGGGTCCTCTCCTCCAAGACCCACCCCCCCCACGCAGGCCTGAGTCTGTGGCCCCTGCCACCCTACCGGGCATGCTCTCCCCACCCTGCACGCGACTCGACTCAGGAAGGAGAAGGGGGTCAACGCACTTGTCCGGGCAGCTGCGTGGGTACCTCCGGGGGCAGGCAGGTGGGCAGGGCAGCGGAGGTAGAGGCCACATGCTCCTCAAAGCTGTTGATGCGAGGCTTTTTGGTGGGCTCGGGGCTGGCTAGTGGGGTGACACTATTGCGTCTCATGAGCGGGTTAGGTCCCTTCTTTGCATCCTAAGCGAGACAAAGACAAAAGAGAGAAGGCGACAGTTACGAGGAGGGGGAGGCAAATAAGCCAAAAAAAAAAAACACCCCAAAAATCCGAAACCAAACCAGACACGTTTCTCTGCTTCTGAATTTCACTGAGACCATGAGACTGACCAGGGAAAACAGCCCTGGACTGCGGGGGCCGCCGGCTCGTCCCGCGTCTCCCACTCAGCAAGAGCAAGGGATGACCTCTCATCCCGAGACCCCACCCCAGTCACTTCCAGACAACCGCTCAACAGACACCACGTTTGCAAAGCAGGCGAGGGAGGAAGAGAGAGTGGGACAGTGATGCAGTGATAGCACGTGAGAGGCGGTGGGCGGGGCGGGGGGGGGGGGGAGACCTGGCTGCCAGCCTCCAAGGACGCAGAGGACGGGGTCCTGGGCTCGAGGCGTGGGTGGCGGGAGGTGTCGGTGCCCGTCCCCCCTCCTGCTGACCTCAAGCTGGCATCTTCCCAGTTCCTGCTCCCGGGGAGCACACCCAGCCTCGGACAGGAAACGCAGCCTCCACCGCAGCCAGGGGACCACAGACACAGGAAACCCTAGCTTTCTTCCGACCACGGGACAATTCGATTGGAGTGGGGACCTCCAAGGTCCCCATCAAGTCCCTGCCCTGTTCTGCCCGGCAAAGCTCTCAGGGGCTATCGGAGCCCAGTTCCAGCCCATCCCCATCATCCCGCTGCAGGAGGGTCCGGTGGGGAGGCTGCTGCCCCGGAAGGAAAGCCAACGTCTATCCTGCCACCCCCACTCGGGAGGCGCCGTCAGAGCCAAGGCATGAGGTTCACCTTCATCTCGGTCAACCAGCTGGGCAACTGGAGGCTGGGATTTGAATGCCAAGATCTTCTGGCCACGCTCCATGAGAGCAGGGATGGGAACATGGGAATGTCATGCTCGGTGTCAAAGAAAGGGTTGGGTGGATGTTGGCAGAGCACTGGAGTCTGACCGTTGGGATAAAGTAAATTCAAACTTTCTTTCACAAGGTTCCTATGCCTGGGCAGAACTCTGGGCTGTTCCTGGAGGATCCCAGCCAGGCTGACCACCAAATTCCAGACCGCCCCCAGGTGGTGTCGCGTGCGGTCAAGCACTGGGATTGTCCAGAGAATCATTCATTCCATCCGCCACATCGCTAACTCCCAGTTACAGCTGTGCTTCCCTAGTCCCACCCTCTTCTTCATTCTTTATCATTTTTGTGAGAGTTAGAGATGTAAGTGCATGTAGACGACACCAAAATTTGTGGGTCCCACTGCCACCCGGGACTCTGGAACCTGCGATCATTTGGCTTCCCCAGAGGAAAAAGTGACGGTAACCAGACCGTGGTTACGTTTAAAAGAGGATTCCTCCTCCACACTCACTTCTTGGGTCAAAAGGAAATGGGGGAAGAAGCACAGAAAGAAACAAAACGGAGGATGATGCCAAGAAGCCACCAGACAGGCAGGCAGGAGCACACGGAGGCTGAGAGAACAGAGGAGGCAGTCCCGAGGACCACAGATCCAAACGGAGGCAGGCAGACGCCACTGACCAACACAGCCTTTGCCAGCCCCGCCGCCGGGTCCCTCCCAGACAGACGGCACAGCGGGAGTGAGGAGGGGGCCGCGAGCTCTCACTCACCTCCGACCTCTCCCGGTGTGTGCTCACAGACTCCACGTTCAGGTAGATGGATTCTACTCGGCAACCTGGGTGCGGGCGGGGACAGGTCAGCTTCGGTTAAAGCGGGACCCGAGCTCAAAGACCCGCCCGGCCCACCTGGGGGATCAGTCTTGGTGGCTGGGTCCTCACGCTCACCATAAGCGATAGGTGTCAGCTTCAAGACAGCGTGAAGCGGGCACTTCAGGTAGGGCATCTCCTCTGGAAATGACAGAAGGGCCCATGGTGAGACGGGAGACTGGAGGGTGGCCATGCCCTCACGAGAGCCTGTGCTGCCTGGGGACCGCAGACGCCTGGCTGGGCAGGGTGGAGCACACCACCAACCCAGCACAGGCCCTGCTAAGACACCCGAAAGAACACGATCAAAGAGAACCCCAAACTTCATGCAATGAGCTGGAATAAGAGCATCATTTCCCAAACACCTTAGGAGTCGGGATCCTACTGGCCCACAGGCAGACACATTAGTGTTTAGCTGCGCTGGGAGTTCTTAGAGGTAGGTTGCCCCCTCCCCAAAGACCCACAGCCCCTGAGATGTGGGGAGACAGGGAGGCGGGGCTTCTTGAGGCTGTTAAGCCCACCCAGCTTAAAACTGCTCTGATATCCCCTGGGGGCTGCAAGAAAGCACCCGGATGGGGCTACCCCAGGGGCCCTGCCTCCTCGTTGGGGGGGTGGTGGGACCAGCTCCCAACCCCGCCCACCCCCAGGAGAGGGCACACTGAGGACCAGGCACCTGCGCTCTTGTCCAGGAAGTAGGCCAGGAGGCAGCGCAGGACGGCCTGGTGGCAGATGACCAGCACGTTCTCCTGCCGCTCCAGTTCCATGATGACCGGCTCCAAGCGCTGCACCAGGTCCTGGTAGGACTGCAGGGTGGAGGGAGAAGGGGGTGCTGAGCTGGAGCAGAAGCCCACGCCCTCCCGCTGTTACAAACCAGGGACCACGCCAGGCACCCCCGGCCACGCCCTCCTGCTGTTATAAACCAGGGGCCACGGGGGGCACCCCCCGGCCACGCCCTCCCGTCCTTATAAACCGAGATCACTCCGGGCACCCCGGGCCACGCCCTCCCGCTGTTATAAGCCAGGGACCACGCGGTCCGCCCTGCATCAGCCCACCACCCGCATGCTGGTCCTGCATCCATCCCGACCCCGGGGGACCCACGTCACTGCCTCTCCCTGCTCCATCCTGACCCCCACCCTGCACCCAGGAAACGGAGCCCCGACACAGCACAGCACGAAGGAGCCTGAACATGCTACACAGAGTGACGGTCTGAGCGTGAGATTCCACTGACAGGAAACGTCCAGAATAGACAACTCCAGAGACAGAACACAGACTCAGAGAAGCCACAGGCCAGAGGACGGGGAACTGGGACTGACTGCTAACAGGCTGGGAGGTCTCTTTTGGGGCAATGGGGAAATGTTCTAGAATTAGTGATGATGGCTGCACAATATTGTGAATGTATTAAAAAAAACCCACTGACGTGTGCTTTGGCTAAAACAGTGACTTTTATATGATAGGAACTTTATCTCAGTAGGAGAAAACTGAAAAAGAAGGGGAGGACCTGTGACTTTCAAGACCACGACCCCTGGTCCCTCTCTCACTAAGGAGGTCCCAGGGAATGAGACCAGGGACAGTGCCTTGGGTTCCCAGGAACAGACGTGTGACAAACACTGAGTCGAGGGACCACAGACAGGAAGGACCCCTGCGGGGTGTCACCAGGCCAAGGCCTCCACAGACCCCAGAGTTCCGCCTGCGCGGGACCCTCCGAGCAGAGCTCCAGGCAGCTGCTGGCTCAGCCCGAGGGCCTGCAGGGCCCAGGCTGGGTCCCTCCGCCAGCATCCGTGGAGCCGGCACAAGGGACTTGCTGACGCTCCTGCCATGTGGCCTACAGTCAGCGGGGTCCCGCATCCAGCACATCAGCAGCCAGGGCTGTTTCCCTTTCCTGAACTGTCGTTTCCGTCACTGGAGAAACACCTCTGTCCCAGCTGCTGGGAAACGCGGCGGTGCTTCCCTTGGAGCTGTGTGAGCGGGGAGGGCTCTGTTCACAGGCGGGCGAGGAGGAGCACGGGGCAGCGCAGCAGGGCGGACGCACTGGCCCTGCCTCTGCGGAGCCACTCAGCCCGCTGTGTCCCTGGCCTCGCCGGACGCCGCGGCCTCGGCAGGCCCAGCGCGAGCTCCTCACCGGCGCCCGCCCGCCCGCCAGCGGCCCAGCGCGCACGCACCTCCCCGGTGGGATAGCGGTAGTAGTACTTGTCCTGCTCTCGCAGCGCGTACTCCTCGGGGTAGGTGTCCTTGATCTCCTCGTACGTCATCTCCTCACACACGCCCTGCGGGCACAGGCGGAGGTCGCTCGAGGGCGCAGCCCGCAGCCACCCGGCTGGCCAGCGTGGGAGGCTCGGGGGTCCCCCGCAGCCCCTCGGGCAGAGGTCCCGGCGGGCACTCACCGCGTCGATCTCGTTAAGGGCCTTCCACTGCTCGTAGGGCAGCTGCAGGGCCTCGGCCGTCTGGATGGTGCTCTTCAACTGGCTGGTCCACACCTTAAGGTCCTTCAGGTTCTGCTCCTCCACGAACTTGCTCAGGGCGTTGGCGAACTGCGGGCACGGGGTGAGGGGCGCGCGCTGGGTCACAGGCTCCACCCACCTGGGCGAGGAGGCGGTGCAGGACCGAGCCCCGGGGAGGGCGAGGCTGTCCTCACTGCTGCGGGAAGGGGGCCCTGGGGGCAGCCCCGCACACACACCCTCCCGTGAGGCGCGCACATGCGCACGCGTGTGAGTCGGTGTCTGATCGGCACACCACACACACACACAGCGACTCGCACACGTCCACGTAAGGGCACCAGTACGTACATGAGGACACACACACACACAGGAACACACACACGGGAACACACAGACACAGGAACATGCACCTGCACACACAAGCACACAGAGATGCACACACAAGGGCGCACGCACACACGGAGGAACACACGCGCGCACACAACGGCACAGATACGCACACAAGGACACACGCGCACAGGGCCGCCTCCCGCCCAGCCCCGGCGCCCCCTACCTTCCTGCCCCGGCTGGACAAGCCCGAGTCGCCTCCGATCTTGCCCTGAAGGTTGTGCTCGCTCTCGCCGTGCCGGCACAGGTAGATGGTGCGGGGCTGCACGTGGATGTTCATCAGGTAGTACACGATGCGGCTCTGGATGTGATCCTGCACCCGGTTCACCAAGAAGCGCCGGCCCACATCGATCACCTTAATCAGCGACAGGTCCCTGCAGGGGGCGCCAGCCCGTCAGACAGGGCTGGTGCGGCCGGAGCCCACCACGCAGACTCGGCCTCCACCGCACCACAGCGTCAGCTCCAGGGGGGCACAGACCTTTCTGCTCTGAGAGTCGGGGGTCTGAGCCTGCAATTCCCACAGCAGAGTGGGGCTAGAGGGCCTCCCAGAGGACAGGAGAGAGAGAAGCAAGAGAACTGAAAGGAAAATAAGGGACAAGAGCAGAGAACAGAGAGAGACGGGCCCAGATACTCACTCTCACACTCACACATGGTGTCTACGATAGTTGCACCGAATATATCACCAAGGATTTTTGGTTTTTGAGATATTTAAAAAGAGAGTTTATAAAAGTATCCAGGAGCAAACGCTGCATGGGAATATTATTCATCGGGAGTAACAGTCACAGCCCTGAAGCAGGTGGTTCAGACAGTCACTGCTTAGGAATTACCTGTCACATTTATCAGGGTCGAGGGGCTGGTAACTGGCCTCATAGCAGTTAATTCTCTTCATGAAGTCGTCCATAGCTTCTGCGGAGTTGCAATCTTTGTAATCCGGGCTGGAGATTTTCACTTCCTGTAACACCACAAAGAGGCAGCTGATGAATCACGCTGGAGGGCTTTCTGTTTAGAATGAGCAGGATTTGGGGCTTGCAAACTGGGAAAGGCATGGATGGGCTCAGAATGATGATGACCCGACCCAGCGTTCTAAGAGGAAAAACAAAAAAGAGATATGGCTGAGCGATGAGTCACAGGGAGGGCACCCACGGTAAGGCAAGGACAGGAAACCCAAGAGGATTCTTGTTAAGATTTTTTTTTTTAAGGCAGACCATTTTTAAAGTCTTGACTGAATTTGTGACCACATTGCTTCTGTTTTATGTTTTGGTTTTTTGTCCACGAGGCATGTGGGATCTTAGGTTCCCAACCAGGAAATGAACCCACATTCCCTGCACTGGAAGGCAAAGTCTTACCCACTGGACTGCCAGGGAAGTCCTATCCCAGGTGGATTCTAATAAATCCCTCTGAATGGGCCCCGATTCAGGATCAATCCAGTAGCCAGGTCACCACTAGACAACCTGGTCTTCAGTCTCACTGAGTCCCTCATAAGCACCTACCCAGAGGAGGCTGCCTGTCAGCAAAGGTGCCCCAGGGGGTGCTGGCAGTGCCCCGTCACTGTGAGTACCTTCGTCACTGTGAGTACCTTCCCGGTGGAATCATCGGGTTCCTCCTGCACTGCCCACAGGCAGGGTGGTACCCCGTTGTCACTGGTCCCCAGTGGATGCTTCTCTACCTGGTCCCAACCAAGGCTTGCTTTCATGGGACAGAGACAGAAGAGAAATGCCCCTCGGGCCTGCCATCCTCTAAAACTGAACAAGCCTGAGAAAGCTGGCAGATTTCGGGGAAACTCAGAATCTGTTCACACGTGCTCTTTTCTTCCTCAACAATGACCACAGCCATGAAAGAGAGGCGAGCACGCTGCAAAAATCCAACTTCAGTGGGGAGTTCGTGTTTCACGGGGGCAGGGTTTTAGTCCAGGAAGAGGAAAAAGTTCTGGAAGTGGACAGTGGGGATGGTTTCCCAGCAGGGTGAATGTGCCAAGTGTCTTGGAACTGAACACTTAGAAACAGTCAAAGTGGTAACCTTTTTTATTAGGTTGGCCAAAAAATTCACTCGGGTGTTTCCATACGATGTTACAGGAAAATCTGAAAAACCTTTTTGGCCAACCCAAAGTTATGTATGGAGAAGGAAATAGCAATGTACTCCAGTATTCTTGCCTGGAGAATCCCATGAACAGAGGAGACTGGTGGGCTACAGTCCCTGGGGTCGCAAGAGTTGGACAGGCGACTTAAGAGACTAAACCATCACCACCAAAGTTAAAAAAAAAAACTCAGTTCACAGATCTCTTCCTCCAATACAGCCTCTTGCATAAAAAGCACAAGAGAAAAGTCTAAAAACTGCTAAGCAGCTCTGAGGCTTCATGAGAGAAAAGAGATTTCTGAACACGGAGGGTTGGTGAACAGGAATCCAAGGATTCAGAGGACAAGATGGTGCATGAGCTCCTGGCCAAGTGAGTGTCAACTGCTCACCAGGGAAACAGACAATCCTGCAGCTGCACTCTGCTTCCCTACCCGGTGGAAATGTAGAACCAAACCAAAGAAATACAGCAAAAGCCTTTGTTTAGCCCAAGGCAACTTGTATTTCCTCATACTTTGAGCCTCCTCCTTTGGGGCCACTGAAACCAATCTGGACTGATTTTCTACCATTTCAATAGCCCTTCCTGAAATATGAACTCATTTCTGAGAAATGCATGTAAATATTCCCACTGCCTTGGAGCAAAGGCCCACCACCAAAAACTAACGAACTCTCAGCATTCCTTTGAAGGACACACACTATATGGCCAAAGTCTGGCATTCCCTGCAGAAGGGTCCGACCAGCTTTTTGTTACAGGTAACATCTTACTTGGATGTATTTAAGCTGGAGAGAAAGTGACCTACAACAAGAGAAGGGGACTTCCGGTGAAGTCTTCACGATAACCTTTCCTGCTTACAGTTTATTGTTATCAAGTACAATTTATTTCAGTGCATCAAATTAAGCTGCCAAGTACCCTCAATTTACCCAGGTAACCCTCCCCTTGACACAGGAAGAGGAGCAGGAAGACAGTTTTACCACTCCCATATTTCCCAAATTTGGGAATTCTGCCCTCTGTCTGCAGGGTCCTATAGGTTGCTGTCAACACATGACCATGCTTACCTACTGGGAAAACTTACCAGCAAGAGACCAGCCTCCTGCCTCCATTTCCATCCTCCGCCCTAAGCAGCCCCCTCACCCCCCAGCGGCCAAGGCTCCTGCCACCAAAACAGTTTTCCCACCAAAACTGAGGTCCGTGACTTCTCTCTTATGTCCAACAAAGAAAGCTTTCTGCCAACCACCTGAAGGGGCCTTGATAAGATCAGTCAGGGTCGCAGAACGTGTTTCTAAGTTAACTACTGCTCTGCACTGCTGACCCACCCTCCCATTCCCCCCCAAGACAAAAGCAAACCACCAGCTGGCAGAGCCAGCTCATCCTCAAGGTGCTATGGCTTCTCCTGGCTGACCCGGTCAGCCCTGTTCTCAGACTGCCACCCTCGGGGGTCTTACCATGATATTGGAGGCAACGACTGTAGGGTCATCGCACACAGACTCAATGAAAAACACCTGGAAGGAAACGAGACAGAAACGTTAGGAAACAACAAATGTGGTAACACAAAGGGCCAGCTTTGGGATCATTGTGACATCACCGCCACACTGGAGCAGGAAGGCCCCCACACATAAACCCCAGATACACAAAATAGAACCAGCCATGAGTCTGTGCCCTCCCACCATAGAGGACCCTCCCCTCCCAAGTCTCAGGAACCCCTGAGAGCCCCCACCAGGAAAGCCCAATCTGTAGGCAACAACACCTGTGCAGTGGCAGGGGAAGCCCAAGTGTGGAGCTGAGGTGCTCCAGACAAGGAACCAGTCAATCCCTGCAGGACCCCCTTGCTCCTGAGCACACCAGGCCAAGACGAGAAATCAGGCTCACCTTGAAATCGTTTTCTTTGGCGAAATGGAGGATCATGTGTCTCCGCTCTCTAGTTGTATTGGTGGCATCGAAAACCTGGCCAGAGAAGAGAACCCGGTTGGCGCTGACAAGTGTTTACTGCACCAGCAGAGGTTGGGTCTGTCACTTTCCGGGGCCCCAGGAGAAACTGCATCCTCCCAGGCCCCCCACAGCCTCCCTCCTGTGCTCAAGGACCAAAGGGGAGAGCAGGGTGGGAACAGTCCTTAAAGCAATGCGCAGGGGGGGGCCACGGAGGGACACTGGCTCCCGGGGCAGCGGCCCCCAGGTCCGGCGGGTCGTGCCCCTCAGTCTGTCCCACCCACCAGCTTCCTCTTGGGTCCTGGGGCTACCTTCACCCCCTGCTTCCCTCACAGCTCAGGCCAGGCGCCTGTCCCCGCCGGCAGCAACCCCCACGGCTCTGTCCATACGCTCCGCCCTCCAGGGCACCATCCCGAGGCAGAGGGGAGATGAGACTTATTCCCCAGACTTACTGCAATCTGGCCCCCCTCCTTCGTCAGGTAACTTTTGACATCTCTCAAGGCAGCCAGGGCACACTGCCTGCAACACGGAAGGAGACAGGTGCATCAGAGTGGGTCCATCTGAGGGGACAGCCAGGCACCCCCGTCCCCCACAATGAACAGGGTGATCTGCGACTCTGCTGCTAAAGTGTACGAGGTGGCTGAGACCGCCAGGCTGGAGGCTCCCAGTCAAAGCCCCGCACGCACGGCTGTGACCCTTGGGGAGTGATCTAATGCTGCTGGCATGCTGAAAACTGCCCCCGGGAGCTTCCAAAAGACAGCTGCCAAGTCCTGCCCATGGACGCCCACTGTACCCATCCAGGCGGGGCTGGCACTAGCGCCGTGTCCTGCTCCCAAGTGACTCTCAGGTCACTCTTGGGACCCCTGGTCACTTTGGGCTGAAAAGGAAAATCCTTTTCTAGCGTAAACAGACGATATTCCAGGGAACAATTTAGCTCGCGCCGAGTGAGATGCTGTCAGTGGTCTGCATCGCACCAGCGGGCGCAGACCACCTGGAAGCAGAGGGCAGCAGCAAAGCTCAGAGGCCGAGAGACTCGCATGCTGCACACACGAGACTGGCTGCCCCGCTCCCGCCCAGTCTGAGGTCACACAGCGAGCAGAGCGCCCCGCTCCCACAGCCAGGGCCTCACTTGCGGACTTTCATGGCCTCCTCGTTGTCAGGGCGGAAGAAGTTGTAGGAGCTGTATTGCTTCACGGCCTCCCGGCGGTACTCGCCCACGTTGAACACTGCGTGGAAAAGAACAGCCCCTTCACTGACCATGCTGACCGCCAGAAAGGACCTCCCAGGGCCCGATCCCTCTTTCCAAAGAAGGAAACCAAGCCAGTGAATGACTTGAATAAGATCCCAAGAAAACCAGAAACCAGGCAGTGGGCAGTACATCCTACACTGCCAGCGTCGCTTGACCTGGAAGGCAGCTGGGGTTCCCTAAGACCCAGCACGGCTCACAGTGCCCCTGCTTCTCTGGGGTCGCCTCCCACAGTCCAGCCTGGAAGCCAGCCTTTCAGGGCCGGGGCTGGAGGCTGAGCCTGAAAGCAGGTGGTGGCCATGTGTCTAGTGAAAACTGGGGCCATGATTCCCGCCAACACGGTTGAGAGGGAGTGCGGACTCACATACATGGCAGGATCCACAGCAGCCACTTTGTATACCAGCAGCCCACACCCAGGATGGGCACTGGGTGCTGACTGAGCAGTTTGTGTATGAAGCACTGTGCTGGGCACAGGCTTGGAGTGGGGGTGAGGGTTGGGGCAGCAAATGTGAAAAATTAGTCCTCGTGCTAAAGACATTCCCCATGTCAGTGGGAAGACCAGATGCAAAAATATAATCAATAGCACAGAAAGAATACTTTAAGACAGCTAGTGGAGGAATGTCACAAACAAGGGCTGGGGGAGTTTGAAGGAAAAGATCCGCACAGACTGGGGTGGTCAGAGAAGGCTTCCTGGAGGAGATGAGGGCTGAACTGGGGAGGATGCAGGGCAGGGTGACCAGAGAGCAGCCAGTGAGCAGAGACTCCCATACACACAGCAGGGTGTGCATACAGGGTGGTGGGTGACGTACTGGAAAGGAAGGTGTGACCCCCCCCCACTGCCGGGAGAGCCCCCTAGAGTGGTCCTGCAAAGAGAGTTTCAGCAGCTGGAGAGGGAAAGGCTGTTCTTTTTCGGGAGGAATGGGGTCATGGTGAGTAGAGTGTACCCCCAGTATGACAGCTCCGGCCTGGGATGCAGCCTCACCTTTTGTGGGGACACCAATCCAGTTGAGGTAGCGGGTTAGCTTCTTGGAGATGTAGGTCTTCCCCCGGGCGGGGAGCCCCACCATGACAATCACTGTCGGGGAGTTGGTGAGCTTCGGCCCACAGGCTGGGGAGAAACAACAGAAGGGCCATGAATGAAGCAGCCAGCGCTGCCCACAGCGGTTTTAAAGAATCCCACGGAAACGCAGCTTTCGTTCCCACCTCGAAGCCCCTGCTCTTTACACTCCAGCAGGAGTGGGCCCCCCACGGCCAGAGCCCTTGGTCACACGGCTCCCTCTTGCTCTGGAATCCTCATGGCAGGGGCCCCGAATTCCCAGCCTGACACCTGAGGGCCCCAAACCCAGCCAGAAAATGACGACTCACCCCAGAGGGGAAAGTAGCCCTCGGGTGTAAGCAAGGGAGTCCCCTGCACCAATAAGGGTGAGGTCATCAGTAGGAGAGGCTGTCTCAGATGCAATGCAACAGGTAAATAGAGGTGGCAGGTAAGAGCCCCGGGGGGTGGGGCTCCAGCAGCTAAATTACAGATAGCTTCCCTCACCTCCACGCACGAGGTCTGCATGACCTTCCTAAAAAAGGTTATTTTTAAAAGGCAATTTCCACAGTAAGAGTTTATGAAATGGAAGTCGGTCAGGGACCAAGAAGCTGACCCCACAAATTCCACCACCCCTGCCTGCTCCGCCTCGTCCAAGTTCTGGCTGCCGCCAAGTCACAAGGGCCCCAAGCAGGACCCCCCGGAAACCCAGAGGGTCTTGCCTGTGCAGCCTCTCCTGGCTTCTCACCCGTGTTCCTTGGAATCTCAACAAAACTCCAGGGAGAGAGGTTTTCACTGGGTTTGCAGAAAGCCGCCCAAAGAACCCTGCTCTGGACTGGACATTTCGGGTGCAGTGTTTCCTGAGATTCTCAGGCGACTCTGGCATCAGGTGAGACAAGTGCTCATGAGCCCGGGACCACCCATGTGGGCCAGAGACTGGCCGCCTGCCCACCCCCTACCCAGCAGCGTGCGAGGTGCTCACTGACCACCATGCAGCCCCACTCCCCGGGCTCCAGCCACAGCGCAGACCAAGCGACTCAGGCTGCACCACAGAATCTAGGTTCCTCCCTTCTAAACAGGCGAGTGTCAGATGGGAGGGAGGGGGGGCCACCAGGCCGCTGACGGCACAGGCTTGAGGAGACCCCTCCTCTCAAGTTGGACGCCCCAACACAGCCCCATGATGCTGGACCTGGTGGCCAGACTTCGGTCACGTGTCCAAGCATTGGCTGCGATGCCCAGGGTCTGCCTCTGGGACTGGCAGCCTGGGGACACGGGGCAGCAAGCGCCCCACGTGGACACAGGAGCCACAGACACCCTTGGCTGGGATTCCCCAGCGACCAGGGGCTGGGAACAAACAGGCTCCTAGAAAACAGAGGCCTCTCGTCCTGCGTGAGCACGGGACCAGAGCAAAGATGCACCAGGGGGCTTTCTGGAGTCCCCGGGGGGCACGCGGAGAAAGCTGATGGCCTCCTCAGAGACCAGTGGGGACAGAAGACACACCTCCTGTCAGCATGTGACAGCTGCAGGTGACACACGAGAAAGTGAAAGTGTCCTCGCTTGTGCCGGGAAACACCCACTCTGCTGATCCTTCCCCCAAGCCACTGGTTTTCCCCTGGTCTTATCTGATATCCCCACCATGTCACTGCTCCCAGGAGCATCAAGACACACACACGCTCACACACACACACACACTCTCGGCTGTGCACATGCATGCACTACTTTTGCTGGACTCAGGCCAAGGAAGCAAGAGGCAGACGCTGACTGATTTATCAAATAGGGGATTACTTCTATATCCATTAACCGTATGTGCAAATCTCCTCGGGCAGTAGACACTTTGGAAGGAAAAAGCAAAACCCATAAAGACACGGCAACATAAACACCTCAAGCCCCAAATTCAAGCTGAATCTCAAAACCAAATAAACCATCCCTTGCTCGTCTGAGGAAGCAGAAGTCATTCCTTGAGTCCTTTGGCTTCTTGCATGAGATTCAAAGAGCTGCCAAAGGTGTCTGTTGCTGCCCATCCGCCCAGATGCTCGGGGATCCCCGGAATGACCAAACTTTACCCTCCCTCCTCTTTGTCAAACTCACAGCACATCCCAAGTGCTTTCCTGGTCCCATCATCTCCTGCCTCTGTCTCAATTCCACTCTGACCCTCTTCTTCTCTGCTGACCTTTTAAATCCTCCCACCTCTCATACCTTCCTCCCTGGAGCCGGCCTTTTCATCTTCCTCTCCAACAGCTCAGGAATACGGAAGGTAAGTGTATAGCTTAACACTAGGTTTTCCCCAAAGTACTTGCATGTAAGGGGATACACTGAGGTTAGAGGTAAGAAGCAACAGTCTAAAGTCCCTGGACAGAGGCTGCACTGGTAGATTCCAATTCCAGTCCCTGCACCCTGACTGAGCGGCTAACCTCTCTGATCACATTCCCCACTGCCTCAAGCAGGCAGGACCGCTGTCCGAGCTTACCATACTGATGCTGTAATGCAGGCTTAGAAAATTTAAAAACCGATGGAAGACACTTTGCCATTGCTCCTGCAGGCTTCCCTGGTGGCGCAGCAGTAAAGAATCTGCCCGCAATGCAGGGGCAACAGGAGACACAGGTTCGATCCCTGGGTCAGGAAGATCCCCTGGAAGAGGGCATGGCAACCCACTCCAGTATTCTTGCCTGGAGAATCCCATGGACAGAGGAGCCTGGTGGGCTACAGTCCCTGGGGTCACAAAGAGTCGGACATGACTGAAGTGACTCAGCACGCATGTACTGCACCTCCTGTAAACTTCCTACCACCCAGAGGCACTCCAAAATGTTAACCTCAAAAGATGCCACGTCACTCATGCTCTTCTCTAAGTACATAGTCAGGCTTTCAACACCAAGTTTCAGGGGAACTCATGGAAGACATAGACAGCTGAGCTGCAGACGTAGACCAGGCCAGTGCCCAGCGGGCCTCATGCAAGTTCCACGGCAGAGTGTCTACGGTAACCATGGGAACCTGCTCCCCCATCGCTGCCAGGCTAGGGCAAAGGACACGCTGCAAGTAAGCCCTGCTGTGACGTCACCACCTGAAAAGGGCTCTCTCGGGACAGGTCCACACACTCGACCCTGGGAGAATGGAAGGCAGGGCCAGAAAGCCACGGCAGACACCTGACTGTGGTCCACTGGACACAAACCTTCTCCTGGGATCATTTCAGCCCAGAGAGTCTGCCTGGTCCCGTGTTAGGAATCGACATGGAAGTGAGCTTGCCCCAGGGGGGTAGGGGTGGTGGTGAGATGGGCTGAGGCTCTGCAGGGCAGGAGACCCCAGCTCAGCAAAACCTCTTTCCTAAACTCTTCTGGACTGTGCAGTGGATGTTGCACCCATTCATTGCTTTGCACGCACATTTTAACTCAATGCCCGATTCTCGTCCAGAGAATGGCCCTCCCAACCCGACAGGCTCTCTGCCAGCAAGGGAGGGAGGGGCGTTTCAGGGAATCAGTTGACAACATAGGAACACGGTGGCTGAGAGGGCCTGGAGACAGGAGAGTTCAAAGCCTGCACTGCTTCGGGTCCCAGACAAGTCACTTGACCTCTTGGCGTCTCGGTTTTCCCTGTCTGTGAAATGCACGGATGTTTCACAAAGGTTCCCGGAGGGTGAAGCAGAAGGTAATGCGTAGGATACTTGCTACGGTGGCCTCCATCAGCCATTAGGGCTTTCTTCCATTAAAGCCAGATACAAGAGAACCAGGACCCACAAGTGAAGGAGGTCCCCTGCATAAGCGGTAAGGGACAGACCTGGGGTTCACTTTGGTCCTTCTCATCTGAAACCCCTCAAGTGCTCCTTCCTCAAAAAAAAGTGGTTCTCAACCAGCGGCTGAACCTAAGAAGCTTTTAAAACCAGGATGCACAGGCTGCACCTGTAGCAATTCTAACTCAGAAAAGGGGTACCAGCACGCATTTTTTCCAAAGTCTCCCCCACACGATTTAAATGTGAAGCCAGGGCTGAGAATCACAACTGCAGATTACAGTGGCTGCCCACGTGATAAGGTCTGTAAGGTTTCCCCTATCTTCCCTCTTTGAGCCGGAAAACCATCAGTGGGGCTAAAGCCCCTGTGAGATGAAACCTTCTCTCAGCAGACAGTACATAACCTGCTACACAGATGAGGAAACCGGGTTCTGAGCGGAGAAGTGAGTTGGGACCTGCACAGATAACTCTCCGTGATGAGAAACAAAGGATCGCTAGTTCTTGCCAGTAGAGAGTCTACTTCCTTGTCCATTCAGCTGATTCACCAAGTCAGTAAGTCTCCCTGAATTACAGTCCGCACTTGAAGGAAGCTGCAGGATTTGTAAGAAGCATTTACCACCAAGAAGGTGTAGCAACCGGACCCCGAAATGATGGGCTTCAGAGGTGGAAGTGCCACCAAATGAATCAATCTGGGGCTTCCTGTGGCTGTTTTACCGTTCTTTATACATCCACGGTCGTGTTTTCGGTGTCCTCTGTTAGTTAACACATCTCAGACAGGTCTGCTGTGACCCCCAACTAGGACAGCACTTAGAAAGATGGGAACAGGTTCAGGAGGGAGAAAAATCCACTCAGTTCCCAATGCCATTAAAGAAGGGGGGAGGGGCAGGGAATGGGAAAGATGCCAGGAAGAGATACCCTCTCTCCACTATGGGAGGAGACAAATGTGACCATATAAACCCAGAAAGACACAGCTACTTAAAATAACGGCATGCAAGCAATAAATACCAGGGTGCAGATAATCTTCTAAGAAAAAAATGTAACCCCACAGCCACACACGGGGATTGCAGGGGTGGGCGGGGACAAGGGACTTAATCCATCAGCTTTAGCAATACCCCCCCCCCAGCCCCCCACCCATCAAGCTGCGAATTGTTCCAACAGGGATTTTCAGGCAAATCTCTCATCTGCGTGCGAGACGTGCAGGCTGATAGGAACTAATGGATGGATTTCTGAAGCCCCGAGGAAAAGCGTGGCCGCACACTTGTGTCTGTCAGAAACACTCAACAAGCGGATGCCAGCCAAGCTCAGCGTCCCCCTCCCACTCCACCCTGCTGTGGCCAGACCTCCCAGTCCTCACCCCGCCGTGAACCCCAGAGGACGACTAAATATGAGTGTGCGTTTCTATGTGCACCCATACACCTACAGATGTTTAGAGAACCAATCTATATTTGTGTGCTCCAGTGTATCAAGTGTTCTTGTATCAATATCTTTTATTCAAAAGTCAAAAAGGGGTGGGCTCCTACTGTATCTCCCTTCTGATTTCAGGTGGGGCATTTCTCACAACGAACAGGTTTTACAGAAATATAACCAGACCGTGGTCAGCCTGTTCAGTGGGCTATTTAAGAGCATACCTGAAAGGGCTGGAGAGCAAGACACCTGCAAGGTTCCCCAGCGCCCAGCTACCTTGCAAAGAAGCCTAGTTGTCCTTGAGGCTTCTGTGGCCGGCTGGACCTGAGGGATCAAGCAGGTGGAGAAGCACTCTACTCCACCCCACCCCTGACAGCATGGGGAGCACCTTGCCAGGCTCCCATCACCAGGATGTCCTAGGAGCACCCCAGGGCCAACTCTCCCCACCTCCTGGGGCAGGTATGAGGACAGGGAGGTAACTCACACCTGGGCAAACCCGGGGGAGAGGAGTTGTCACTGCAGCCTTGGTGAGCAGCCCCTGAGAAATGCGATGGCAGAGGAGGCCCACAGGCCACCTAGCGCTCGGGGGATGCCTTGAAGCCACTTGGGAGGGTTTGCACCTGGGAGCCAGTGCTTACCTCTCAGGCATCCTGACCTGACCTGACCTGGAGCAAAATGCTCACCACTGTCTCAGCCTGTCCACCTGACATGCCCCTTGGTGGTTTTGCTGGAGGAGCTGGTGTCCCCTTCAAACCTCTGGAACCACCCGTTTAAGAGGTGGCTCTCTCCCTGGCTGGGGACAGAGCCCAAGGTAAACCTTCCCAAAGTATTTACCGGCCAAGACCCGACAGGGCGGGGATGTGAACTGTCAGCAAACTCCAAGTCTAGAGAGAGAGTGTGTGTGTGTGTGCCCGCGCGCGCACTGGCTCGCACACGTGGGAAACGCTGCCAACTGTGTAGACCCCACCCGCAGACCCTCCCCAAAACATGCACAAAGGCAGAGTTCCAGACAACTCTCTAGGCCCCCGGCACACGGGGCAGAGGGGGGCTCGGGAGAGGAAGAGAGGGGGGAGGCAGAGAGCAGTAAAGACAGCGAAGGGAGAGGGGAAAAAGAGAACTGAAGATAGGAGATCAGAACTACATAGGAGGAGAAAAAGACAGAAAATGGAAATACATAAAGAAAGAGAAACACATAGACGAAGGATGGAGTGAGGGGGTGGAAGCAGAGAGAGATTGAGAGAGGAGAGAGAAACACGCGGTGGGGAAGAGGAGGCGGAAAGCGGAGAAAAGGAGGGGGGAGGGAAGGAGGGGAAGAGAGGAGAGCGGAGGTAGCGATCGACACCGAACGGCGGCTGGGACACGAGGAGGCGCGGCGGGCGCCCGGGAGAGGGGCCGGGGCCGCGGGACACGCCGGCGTCCCTTCCCACGCGTCCCCGAAACGGAGGTTCCCGGCGGTGCCCGGCGCTTCCCGCTCAGCGCGCGCGCCGTTTCCGGGTGCCTCTGCGCTTCCTTCGCGAGCCGAGCGGAGCCGAGCCGAGCGGGGCCCCACGGAGCCCTCGGGCCGGGCCACAGCGCCCCCGACGCCGGCCAGGGGAGGCGCAGCGCCGGCGCCGTGCCCGCCCCGCGCCGGAGCTGGTGGGGAGGAGCGGGGGGCGCCCGGGCTGGGACGCGGGGACGGCGCGGAGGGCGGCGCCCGGCCGGCCGAGCGCGCCGGAGGAGGGGAGCCGGCACAAAAGCGCCGGGCCGGCGCCCTCCACACAATGGCCTCTCTCCACACACGGCGCGCCCTCCCCGGCCGCCCGGCCCCGCGCGCGTCTGCACTCACTTCTGGGCAGCGAGGGGCGGTGGTCGACCGGGATCCAGATCTTCTGCACCCGGCTCTGAGTCAGTTCCAAGGGCATCTTCCCAGCCGAGGCTCGGCGGCCCTCCGCCCCTTCTGAAGAATTCAGACTTGGGGAGGAGAGCGGCCTGGCGACCCCCGAAACAAAGGGGGGCGAGGGTGCGTGCGCGAAAGCGCGGCTTTTTGGAAACGTGCTTTGTGCTAAATCACGGACGCTCGCCTGGGGCGCGAGGCTCCCCAAGCGCTGCGAGAAGGACGCGGGGCTGGGGCAGCACCCACGGCTCCCGCTGGGCTGGGATGCTCCGAGCGCAGTGACAGCCGCGGTCCTCGTGCGCCAGCTAGAGCTCGTGCGGTCCTCGCCCGCTAGCCTCCTCTCCGGCTCTGCTGGACGCTTAGCGCGCCGCCCTGGCTTTTAAGACAGCCACGCACACGTCACCCTGGGGCGGGGACGCATTCCTCGGGTTCCAGCCCCCTTTCACGTGGAAGGAGGGTGGCTCAGCCTGCTGGCGCCCCCTGCAGACCGGCGACGCCGACTCAGATAACACCCTAAACGAGCCCTGGGTGAAGGTGCCACTTGGTGAGCCTCCTCCTGTCATTCCCTAAAAACGCCCTGCACAGCTTCCCAGAATAACCACCGCAGCTGTGCTGGGAGGAGAGAAACGGTACCGTCCGGTGTGGTCCGTGGAGCCCTGCAAGCGAATCACCTGGAATGCTTATTGCATCCTAAAGACTCGGCCTCTTTGGGAATGGGACCCACATACTGTGCATTTTTAACATGTATTCCGGGCCAGGCATGGTCACAGTGAAGACAGGGGTTTAGGGTTAAGGGTTGGAAGAAAGTTAAGAGGGGACGGGGTGTGTGTCTCTGCTACCCTAGACGGAGGCCAAAGGGAGGTCGCTGAGAGCGCCCATGGGGTCACTCCTTGCCGGAACTGCTCCCTAATAATATCCGTGAGTCTCAGCCGCCACGGCCCTGGCGCCACCCCAGGAGAGGGGGCTTCCTTGGCCCTTGGTCCTCACTCTGCTCAATTTCCTGAATTCCTTAGAAACCCTGACCTGTGCTGAACACGGCTCCCCAAAAGCCAGCGCCTAAGACCTGGAACCCGGGGTCCCCGGAATGCTGGGCATAAGGAGCGGGCGGGAAAGACACGGAGGCTGGACCAAAATGGAACGTGGCATCTTGGTTTTCACGGTCACCGTTTACAATATTTTCGATATACTTTTATCTCTCCTAGTAGAAGAGTAAATAAAACTGGATCCTATTCTGATCTGAAATTGATTACCTGACAAAAGTCCGGAATAACTATTGGGAGGCGGCACCTTGATTGTGCAAACCCCTAAACTTCGTGCCATGTAACCCGCACAGCCCTACTGCACGTCTTCCTCGCCAGTTTTTGCTGTGTGTGTCCCTCCGTATCCCTGGTTCTCGAGGCTTTGCATCAGCTGGGGACATATGGCAGTCGTAAGGTCAGGTCCGTTGCCTCCCTGTGAAGATCTGGGGTGCGGGGAGCGGGGGGATGCCTCCCTCGCAGGGAATTCACTTGGATGTGACTTTGGCACGCGACGCCTCGGTGCGCAGCGCTGCGCTGCACAGGCGCATCCCTCCGCTGGGGCTGCGCGGTGATTGGAAGGAGGCGGCGCTCGCCGAAACCCACACCGCCGCGGAACAGTCTGCGCAGAGGCTGCCACACGTCGCTCACGTACCGCATGGCTCGGCTGGGAAGGCGCCCGCTCCCAGGCGGCGGGCAAGCCGCTCCTGCCTGCCCGCCCCGCCCCGCCGCGCCTCCCCCTTCCTCGCACCCCAGCTCGCCCAGAGAGGCAGGAGCTCCGAACCATCCCCCAGCCCGACGCCCACCCCCACCCCGGGCACTCCCCCAGTCCAGGCAGCCCCCTCCCCCAGCGCAGAGCGTCCAGCGCTACCCACCGGGCGGGGACGTACCCTCAACCCCCCTCCCTTCGCACACCGACCCCCCACTCCAGGCTCCTCACTAGCACGAGCCCGAGCATCCTCACTTTCCCCCACCCTAGCCCGCCCAGGGGTTCGGATCTCCCATTGTCGTCCACCGGGGGGTACCCTCGACCCCTTCGCCCCCGCACCCCGATTCCCACTCGGGGCACCCCCCTCGCCTGAGCGTCCCCCAGTCTCCCCGCTCCCCAGCCCGGGGAGGAGCGTCGCCCGCCGAAACAGCGCCCTTGACCGCCTCCCCCCTCCCCGCCCCCTCCTCCCTCTCCCGAGCCCCTGCCCTCCTCCCTTCCTCCGCTTTGCTGACTGCCTGGTTTCGGTGCTTGGGCAGCTGTTCAGAAACCCGAGTGCGCTGCATTCGGACTTGTTTTTCTGCACTGGGAGCAAATGCCAGAGATGACACCCTGGATCGCCCCAGGGAGAGTCCCACTCCACTCCAGAAATAAGAGCGGGCTGATCCAAAGAGGAAAACAGCAGGGAGGGCGCACCGGCACCCTGCCCCCAGCTGCTTGGGTCCGGGGGCCCCGGCTGCACCTCTACATGTTTGCACACTCGTCTCTCCCTGAGAACCCAGGGTACCTGTGTGCTTGCTAATGCCCACCGATTTTTTTTTTGCACAGGCTGAAGAACAGGGCAAGGCTGGGGTGGCATTCTTCCACCCTCCAAGCTTGCAGGCGACTGTGTTTCCGAGCAGAGGGAGAGCAGGCCACAGAAGTGCACTGACAGTGTGTCTTTAATTTCCCTGTCTGGATCATGTGCCTGACCAGGGCCCAGCTCCCAGGGCACAAGGCAGTGACATTCCTCCGAGCTTCTAGCTAAGCATTCACACCCCACACCCAGACCTGGCACCTTTGCTGCCTGGGTGTCCATAATGCCTTAGAGCAGAGACCCAGTTCTAGCTCATCATCACCTCCCTCACCTGATGGAGGCCGGCACACGGAAGTTTCACATAATCCTTCTCCCACTGCTTAAATAAAAGTGCAAAGAAACTGGGAGAGAGTGGGGGACTAGGTCAAATTCACACTTATAGCGTTCTTCTGGAAGATAATATTGCTTCTCTCCAAGTCCATTTACAAACAAGCCAAGCGCATCTGAACTAGCGAATGGACCGGTCCAGAGGCAACTGGTTTAGTCATCCACCTCTTTCCCTAGTTCTGCTAACAAACTCATCTATATCCAACCATCTATGGCTTTGACCCAATCTGGTGATCAGGGATGCGGTCCTTCAGAAAAGGCAGCAGAGAATGTAAAAATCCCTCTAATCCAATGATATTTTTACAAACAGGAGAGCTTCAAGGATTGGGGGGTATAGAATTTGATGATATGGTCTACAAGGAATCATCCAGATTATTCAATCATCCTTTTAAATGACTAAAGGGAAGTTTAAAGATTAGAGGCGTCAGAACCGGGCCAAAGGTCAAGGACCACAGCCAGTTAGGAACTTTTTTCCCTTACTTGACACAGACATCTCCCAAGGGACTTGTGATGGCCACAGCCTGACTCTGGGGTGCTGAGCGGAGTTATGATGAGGGGAGTAGAGTGCACTGTGACTCAGATCGTCTCACCCAGAACACAGCAGAGAAAGCCCTTCATGTGCGGTATGGCCTGCTGCTAAGTCGCTTCAGTCGTGTCCGACTCTGTGCAACCCCATAGATGGCAGTCCACCAGGCTCCGCCGTCCCTGGGATTCTCCAGGCAAGAACACTGGAGTGGGTTGCCATTTCCTTCTCCAGTGCATGAAAGTGAAAAGTGAAAGTGGTCGCTCAGTCATGTCCAACTCTTGGTGACTGCATGGACTGCAGCCTACCAGGTTCCTCTGTCCATGGGGTTTTCCAGGCAAGAGTACTGGAGTGGGTTGTCATTCCTTCTCTGATGGCCTGCTGAGGTGCTTATTTATAGAGGAGAACTCCTTAGCTGGGTCCAGACTCAGAAAGAGTGGTAGGGCTGGGTTTTCTCCATGACCTCTCTCTTCTCAGTTCCCTCTGCCAGCCAAGGTCATCTAACCACCTCCCCCCGACCCCCACCCCAGATACTCCTGTAACTACAGCAAAAAAGCAATGCCATTTGCACAATGGTGAGCAACTGAACCAGATTTAAATACCAAAATGGTGCTAGAACCCACCTTCTCCCCAGCAAGAGGAGACAGAACAAGCTCTGGCAGGTAGTGAGCAATCAGATATTGCTAATTAGACATAGTGTCGTCATTTGCTCCTGCAAACAATCCACTGTCTGAGAGGGTGAAGAGAGACACCAAACAGAAGACTGAAATCAGTCCTTACCTCATCCAAAGAAAGGGGAGAGGACTTTTAAAAAATATACATATATATATATATATAATGTCACTCATACATGAATAGGAACGCAGATACAGAGATCCACACTATGCAGATTCAACGAGTTGAAAACCCAGTTCAAAACTGCACATGGGGGTTTACAGCAGCTTCATTCATCATCGCCCAAAGGTAGAAGCAGCCAAGATGTCCATCAGCAGGTGAAAGGATAAATAAACCGTGATGTCTCCAGACAATGGGGTATTATTTAGTGCTAAAAAGAAAGGAGCTGTCAAGTCATGACAAAGACATGAAGGAACGGTAAGTACACATTCCTAAGTGAAAGAAGTCAATCTGAAAAGGCTACAGACTATGATTCCAACTCTATGAAATTCTGGAAAAGGTACAGTTACAGTAAAAAGATGAATGGTTGCTAGGGGTTAGGGAAGAAAGAGTGATAAACAGGTAAAGTACAAGGGATTTTTAGGGCAGTTACACTGCTCTGTATTGTATATTACAGTGATGGATACGTATCTTTATATAATCTGTCCAAACTCATTAAATATACAACACCAAGAGTGAACCCACAGTAAACGGTGGACTTTGGGTGATGATAATGCCTGCCACTGCAGGAGACACAGGAGATGAGGGTTCAGTCCCTGGGTTGGGAAGATCCCCTGGAGGAGGAAATGGCAACCCACTCCAGTATTCCTGCTTGGAAAATCCCATGGACAGAGAAGCCTGGTGGCCTAGTCCATGGGTTTGCAAAGAGTCAGACACGACTGAGCACATAACAGCAGCAGTAGATGTGTCCTTGTAGGTTCAGCCTTAGTAACCATGTACCATCTGGTGAATGATGTTGATAACAGCGGACACTGTGCATGGGTGGAGGTGGGGGGTACTTGGGAAAAGTCTGTACCTTCCTCTCAATTTTGCTGTGAATCTAAAACTGCTCTGAAAATAAAGTCCAGTTTTTAAAAATCATTTATTTTTCTACAAATGTCATATACATGTTTCTCCAAATGAGAGGACTTACTCATCTCATTATGAGGTACCAGGACACTTAAATGTGGCCACAGCCTGGCTCTTGGTGAAGAGTCACAACTGAAGTCCTACTGAAACAGCAAGTTTCCTTTCCTTCTGCCCAGCCCTTGTTCCTCCACTTCCTGCAGGCCTTTCCTCTTCTGAAGGCACACCCGTGACCTAGGGACCACACTCTTAAAACTGCCCTGGGTGTTTCAAGCAGGCATTGCATCAGGCTCCTGCTCTGAGAGTATCTGACACTCCCTGTCAACCTCTTCACCCAATATCGAGACAGATGTCATGTGTGTGTATGGAATCTGGAGAGATGGTACTGATAAACCTGTTTGCAGGGCAGCAGTGAAGATGCAGACATAGGGAACAGACTTGTGGGGGGAGTGGGGGGGGGACAAGCTAGGAGAGTAGCATGGAAACAGATAAATTACCGTATGTAAAACAGATAGCCAGTGACACAGAGCCCTGCAACCACCTAGAGGGGTGGGATGGGGTGGGAGATGGGAGGAAGGTTCAAGAGGGAGTGGACATTTGTATACTTGTGGCTGATTCATGTTGATGTGTGGCAGAAACCAGCACAATATTGTAAAGCAATTATCCTCCAATTAAAAAAAAAGTTTTTAAAGCATTCCTTTGTGTGTGCTTTTAAAAATCAGATATTCTAAAAAAAAAAAAATCAGATATTCTGTGGTCTATTTCACTGTTTGGTACCAACAATCAGTTTCCTGGTTTTGATATTTTTCTGCCATCATAGGAGATGTCACCATAAGAGGAAGCTGGGTGAAGGGTTCATGGGACTCTATGTGCTATTTTGTAACTTCTCGTATTTCAAAAGAAAAAAAGCTCTTTAAAAACACCCCAGATTTTAAATTGGTGATCACTCAGTTTGCCGAAATTCTGGAGAAAAAATAGAAAGACAAAAGCATAGGCAGTATGTGCTCAGGCACTTCAGTCATGTCTGACTCTTTGCGACCCCCTAGACTGTGGTCTGCCAGGCTCCTCTCTTCATGGGATTCTAGACAATACAGACCAAGGCATGAAGGGAGAGGGGAACTGGCAGAAAGGGAGCCAGGACTCGTGATTTGCATGTGTTCCTAACACTTTGCTTCTTGCAAATGACGCACATATATAAACAAAATTTGCACGAATCCCACACCTGCAGAAAACGGAAACCAACCTCAAGCTGTTTTACTTTGGTGGAGGGGGGCGATGATTCTGTTTACAGGCTTTGTGTAGATCTTGGGGAGAGTATCAGTGTGTTTGCAGTCTTTGCAGGCAAGACATGAAACAAAGAGGAGACCCAAGCAGAGGTCAGCTGAGGGCTCCCAACGACCGTGCCAAACCTGTTTTCCTGGAGGGGAAAGCGGACACAGACCAGCAAGCAGCTCGCTGTCCTCCTCCTGGTACATTTAACAGATGCTCAGGAGCAGGAGCTGCGAGTCAGATCGTGCACAGAACAGGCTGCGCTGGAATCACAACCATCTCGGGTCCAGCCAGGAAGAAGCAGCAGGTGATCAACCAGCTCATCACAGTGCTGCGTGCTCCGTCTCACGCCGAGTATGACAAAGAAAGATCTCCCATGCCCACGAGCTTGTAATCGAAGACCAGAGTGCGAAATGGCCACGAAATAGAATACAAGTAGGGAACTGAGAGACAGGTGTTGGGTGAGGTAAGATCATGCTGAATGCAGGCTCAGGGTAAAAAGTTCACGTTGGGAGAATACGGAGAGTTTGCATGGACTTGGGACAGACGGGCTGGGAATTTCGTATCCACTTTATCATCCTATAGCGTTTCTCTGCTAAGTCTAAGAGCACACACAGGAGAAAGTTAGTATCTCTCGGTTCTTCCCACGTGAAACAAGCATTCACTGACAGCAGCTGTCCTGGGGGCACCAAAGTCAAATGAGACGTGGTCCTTGTCAGAAATATGGATTCATTTCTGAATTTCATAGTGTCCCCAACACACACAAACACACACACACACAAATACACAGACACACACTCTCCTACCTTTTCCCCTTAGAGTTAATGAAAACCGAGGCTTACAAATATGACTTCCTTGTAATAACATAGCTATTAATAATAAGCCAAGGAATAAAAAAATATCTGGCCAGGCTGGTATTCTTTCAAGTGTCACCCAATTAAATTACTTTCCAACTAGAACATTCAGTTTCCTTCTCAATAACAATGCCAACAACAAAACTTTGGATCCAAGTGGTTTCTATGACAATGTCTACATTACCTACTATTTGGATATAATGAGGAAATAAGAAGCGTCTTAAGAAACTATTATGAAGATTAATAACTAAAAACTCCCAAATAAGCCTGTACTGTAAGGTGCTCCTTAGCATATGAAGACAGAGTAACCCCCCCAAAGAGTCCCAGCACTCACACCTAACAGTGTCCCCTTCTTAAAAGGCCACCACAGCAGAGACAATTTAAAAAGAAATAACTATTTCATGAAATCAAAGTGAGTCAGCATTAAACAATTCTTTTAAAGAGGTGGAAGAGGGAGGCTTTGAGCTCACTGTGCACTTCGCAAAGGTTTTAAGATGTCCTAATAAAAGCAAAGAGGAAAAGAAATAGCCTACTTCTCAAAAACCATTCAAACTCTTTGATGAGCTCCACATTTCTATGGTTGATAAGGTATCTTTGTGGCCAGGCTGTCAAGAGCATGACATCGCTGTGGCTCCAGGGCAGTGCGGGCCCACAGCAGCCACCACTGTGGCCGAAGGTTTTCCAGGCTTGACAAGAACCAGGAGGAGCTAAAGGCCGCGCTGGGTCCCGGTCAACATCTGCAGCACAGACAACGTCGCTTCAGCGCATCGTGCTCTAACAAGCTGGTGGACGGCCCACATTCCCTGTCGTATCCTGCATCTTCAGTCGCCCTCCCAGGGTTGTGGAGTAAGAAGCATCCAAGTGGAGACACACAGGGGAAGGTGCTGGGCTGGGATCCAGATTCGGGGAGAAGGCAGGTGGGTGCAACAGACAGCCAGGTGGGCAGAGAGTGGGGCGCGGCGGGCAGACAGGGGGCACCTTGTGGACCATCAGGACGACTAGCTCCTGTTCTAAAATAGAGGAAGACCCCAGTGGACACCGAGAAGGAGGAGCAAGAAGTCGGGAGGGACCTTCTTTGTAATCCTGGCTGTTTCCACCCCAAGGGGCTAGAGTGGAGCTGGGCTGGTGGCAGGTACCCACAGCACTGGCTATCTGCATGCATGCTTGGTTAAAGGCTGGCCTCTGGTCATGGTGTTAGGGACAGGTTATAATAGGCAGGCAACAGTCTTAGGACCCTGAGATAAGGTTCAGAGTCTCTGCTCAGGGTTTGTAAGGAAGATAGGGTGAAGGGGAGCTCAAGAGACAGGCCCCCCTGTGTGGAGATGATGGTTTCAAATGACTTGGTTCTCAATTTCTCCTTCACTCCTTCCCCAGACAGTGTTTATCCTAAGAGGAGGGCAGGCCAGAAAACTTTTTTCTGGAAAATTCATCTCAAAGGCATGAAAACAAGAGGCGGCGGGGTGCAGCAGGAAAAGACCGGGGTGCTAGAACCTTAAGTGGATGTAGGGACCTATAACCATACCATAGGATGCAGGTTAAAGGGCCCTCAAGTCCTGAAAAAGTTGCCGTCTGCAGTGAGGATGAATTGATGGGTAATCCTGGAGAATTCCATGGACTGTATAGTCCTTGGGGCCGCAGAGCTGGACATGACTGAGCAACTTTCACTTTTGACTGCTGGGAACCTCATCTGACTGCTGGCAACCTCATCTAACAGGCTGTCTCGGCTCTGCGAGCAGCCACGACAGGGACCCTCCAGGCACAGAACCCCTACAACTCCCCTTATCTTTCCTCACAGACAACCCACTGGCGAGCAGACCAGAACGTTCTATCCTGCCCAGCAGCTCCGGTCCTCCTAGAAACGTACACAGTGAGCAATCTAGTTTAAAGACCATTCTGTCACCAGTTTGGTTTGTGACTTGGTCTCCCTAAGCTCCACCATCACTGGTTGTGCTAACGTCCAACTTCTAAAGAGGAAAATCTGGGGACCAAACACTGGGCCACAGGGAACCCCCACCCACCCACCCACCCACACACACACACACACGGCGGGCCACCCATTTCTCTCTGACACCAGCCTTGCTTCTTTTCATCATAATCATGGAAGCGTGCCCTGGAACACTTTGTGACTCTATTTCTTGCCAGAAGAGTTTCCCAATGACAATATTTTATTAGACACAGACACAAAACAAGGAGAGGTTGAAGAAGCAATCCAGAAGTGTACTAAGAGCCAGATAAACTGAGGCGGCAGCTCTGGGCCCACTCGCCGGGGAGCAGGGGAAATGATGACAGCTACCGATCCCGAAGCGCCCCCGACCCGGATGTCTCCTGAGAGTCTTCTAGGACCTGCATGACACTCTCTTCCAAATCACAGATGGAGAAGAAACAGGCAAAACGCCCCCTGTGCCATAAGAAAAGGGCTGTGTGACTTTCGGTAGGTGAAAGATTTCCAGAACACATCACTGGATAAACTGAGGGTAAGTCAGACAACTTGGGAATTTTTTTTTTTCCCCTAGTTCAGGCTGTTTCCTCATCAGCAAGAAAGCTATCACTTGGCCATTAGTCATGGTGGATGAAGAGGCCAGACGGATGCCAGGGACAGTGTGAAATACCAGGACAGTGTGCAAACACCAGGACAGCTAAAAGACTCAAACAATGGACTTTCCCAATGGTCCAGTGGTTAAGAATCTGCCTGTGAATGCAGGGGACAGGGGTTTGATCCCTGGCCCGGGAGGATTCCACATGTCGAGGGGCAACCACAAGTACTAAAGCCTACTCAAGAGCCCGTGCTCCACAAGAGAGTAGCCCCCATTCACTGAACCTAGAGAAAGCCTGCACAGAGCAACCAAGACCCAGCGCAGCCAAAAAGAAATAGCTAAAAAATAAAAATAAAAACTCAATCAGTCTGGCAGCCCTTCTCTGCCCAAAGGCAAGCTCACAACAGCACAGTTGCCTGTCAAATACCTGTTATTGGCTTGAGGAAGGCCAGAGCCACCCGGATACAGAGGGCTGGGCCTGGAATCCGCACCCAGACACTTAGCACTGCTCTCTGGGGATAGGGCACACACCGTGCCTGCCCCTCCTCTTCCTTCGACTCCCCCAATGCCAGTCACCCCTTTATGTAAAAAGGCAGTGGGTGTAGCAGTGTTTTTCACAAGAGCCAAAAGTTCAAGTATCCATCAAGAGAGGAATGGAAACACAAAACGTGGTCCATCCATACAATGGGATATTACTCAGCCTTGAAAAGGAAGGAGGTACTGATACATACTGCAACGTGGATAAACCTTGAGGACCTTACATCTGTGCTGTTGTTGTTTAGTGGCTACGTGGTGTCCAACTCTTTGCAACCCCATCGCCTGTAGCCCACCAGGCTCCTCTGCCCATGGGGTTTCCAGGTAAGAATACTGGAGTGAGTGGCCAGTTCCTTCTTCAACATATGTGTCTAGGGGAACTCATGAGTTTTTGTGTTCCCCTAAAACTCACATGCTGAAGCCCTGACCCCCAGTACCTCTAAATGTGACTGTATTTGGACGTAGGGTCTTTAAAGGAGCAATTAAGTTAAATGAGGCCATTAGAATGGACCCTCATCCGACCTGACTAGAGTCTCTACAAGAAGAGGAGTTTGGACGTCCAAAGAGCTAACCTGGTGTGTGCCCACAGAAGAAAGGCCCTGTGAGTGCAAGGAGGTCTCAGGAGAAACCAGACCTTCTCTCAGATTCCAGCCTCCGGATCCGTTAGAAAACAAGTGTCTATTGTTTAAGCTGCCCCATCAGTGGTATTTCGTTGTGGCAGCCAGAGCAAACTAATACAGTTATGCTCCATGAAAGAAGCCAGACACAAAGGGTCGTGCCATGTATAATTCCATCAGTGGGAGCTCTCCAGAACAGGTGGATCCACACAGACAGAAAGTAGATGGCTGATCGCCAGGGGCTGGAGAGACCGGGGGTGACTAATGGGGATGCAGCTTTCTTTGGGGGTGATGATCACCTTTTGGGATTGGATGGGGCACTGGTTGCACTGTACTGTGAATATATTGTACTAAATGCCATGGACTGTGTGCTTTATGATGGTTCATTTTGGAATTTCCCTGGTGGTCTAGTGGTTAAAACTCTGTGCTCCTAATGCAGTGGGGAGTGGTTTCGATCCTTGGTCCGGGGAGCTAGGATCCCACATGCTACATGGCACGGCCAAGATAAATCTCGCTGTAAAACCGTTCATTTTATACTGTGTGAATTTCAGCACAATTAGAAAAAGACAAAGACAGCAGAAAAGGGCTGATCGAGAGAGACCTGAAAAATGAAAACATTAAATCTGTTAAAGTTACGACAAGGTAGTCAACAAGACAGAGAAGAGGAAGATAGAGAGACCAGGAAAAAGCAAGTTTGGGAGAACAGAGGTGAGCAGCAAGGACAGGGTCAGCCCAGAACTCTGCATCCACAGCCCGGTCCGCACCCGCCAACTGGCAGCCTTCGCCCTTTTGCCCCCTACCCAGCGCCCCCAGCTTCAACAACACAACACGGGGAGGGGAGAGGAGAGAGCAGGAGACTGAACAAGTCACCTCACATCGGAGGGCGTGAGCTGCTGTATCCGAGTGGGCTTGCTTGGTAATGCATTGGGGTCAATGCTTAACCTAAACCACGGGGTTTTCATATGAAACGTGCACAGCAGGGACTCGGCACATAGCAGGTTCCGGACTTCCCATCCAAGAGCTCTGTGAAAAGTGAGACTTCCCCTTTCTCCAGACCCCGAATCTCTCCCTGAACTCTCAGCCAGGTGGTGCCATCTAAGCCAGAGAATGGGTTTCCCCAACTCCTTCTTCTTCCCCACCCCATCTGGCTCAGCGACATCCACCTGTAGCTGGGAGGTTCTGCGACTTCCTGTAATAGTCAAGGTTCTCCTAAGAAACAGATTTGTACATATGCATGTGTATACACATATATGTAGATATGTGTGCATGCGTGTATGTATATGCATAGGTATGTATGTGAGTAGCTAAGTGTGTGTGTCGGGGGGGCTTCCTAGGTGGTACTAGTGGTAAAGAACCCGCCTTGCCAATGCAGGAGACATGAAGGGTTGCAGGTTCCATCCCTGGGTCAAGAAGATCCCCTGGAGGAGGAAATGGCAACCCACTCCAGTATTCTTCCCTGGAGAATCCCATGGACACAGGAGCCTGGTGGGCTACAGTCCATGAGGTCGCAAAGAGCCGCACGTGACTGAAGTGACTTGGCACACACTTGTGTGTATGTAGATATGTATGTGTGTATATATGTATGTATATGTGTGTTTATGTACGTATAAAAGGAAACTCATTTTGGAGGCCGAGAGGTCCCACCATCTGCTGTCTGCAGTCTAGAGACCCAGGAAAGCAGGTGGGATTCACTCAAGAACCAGGAGCTCTGACATCCAAAGTCCAAGGACAGGATGGACGTCCTGACTCATACCAAGAGAGTGGGTTCACCCTTCCTCCATATTTCTGTTCCATCCAGGCCCTCACTAGACAGCATGGCACCCACCACCTTGGGGAGGCCCATCTGCTTTTCTTAGTCCACTGAGTCAAATGCAACTTCTCCAGAAACATTCATACACACCCAGAAATCGAATTTTAACCAGCTGCCAAGGAACCCCTTGGCCCAGTCAGGTCAAGACATAAAATGAGCTGTCACACACCCCAGGAGCACTCTTCCATCATCCTTCAAGGCAGAACCCCTGTTTTAGCCAAACGATCTCCCAGCTGCAAGATGGTTTTCAGAGGAGCAGGTGAGCTGTGGCTGAGAGGTGGAGGTGGGGCCACTCCGCCGCAGGCGTCTGGCACCTCCTCTCCTTCGGTACAGCTCCCCTCCAACCCTCCACACCCTGCCCCCCGAGGCCCCGAGCCGCTCCCGCGAGGCCTCAGCTCAAACCTGTGGCTTCCGGCTGGTTGTCCTATTATTAGATGAGCTGCTGGCCGGTCATTCTGTCCACTCAGCCAAACATCCTTTCCTGCCACTGCCCCGCCCTGGTTCTCTCTGTGCCGCCTGCCCCATCCTCCAGAGCAGACGCCCGCCCACCCTCCAACACGGACAAGCAGCCAGCGGGTTCCCATGAGACGCGTACTCCTTAAGTTCAGAAGCCCACTCCTGGGCTTCAGAGCAGCGTGAACATGGTTCTCCACGGCACACAGCGACGCCAAGTGAAAGACCAAATGGGCCCCAGGAGGTGAGGGAGTGGGGCTCTAGGCAGGAGGGAATGTTGAGTGACGCCGTGAGGCTGAGGGGTAATACTGCGGCCAGGATCTCAAAATGACTGGCAAAGAGCAATTCTGGGGAACCCGTGGGTGAGCAAAGTTTGGATCCTCAACCATGTGAGCCAGCCCTTCAGATGAGGCCTCCGAAGCTTTCCCTGTGGGAGCGAGGGGCACCGAAAAGACTGCGGGCTAGGGGGCGTGGGCTGGGGGCTGGGAGCCTGGACCCCCCTCCAAACCTGTCCATACCAGTCATGGCACTGCCCTCTCTGGACCCCAGTTCCCTCCTCTGCCCATGAGCCGTCGAAATGGCCTCAAAGCATCTCCTCCACTCCTCCAAGGATTCTAATTGTTCTCAATGAAACAGATGGAAACTGGATGCTAATTACTAGACTAGAAGCACTTGAAAGAGGGACAGCTGTGCAGGCGTGCACCACCAAAGCCTGCCACCGTGTCAGGCACACAGGGCATCTTCGTATATTGGGTGAAGGAAGAATGGATTTGCAGCGACTCTTCGTGGCTCACATCACGGGCCAGAAGTAGCCTCCGTAAATGTTCTGGGAACCCCAGCTCGGAGGGGGCCAGAGCGCCAGTCACCCTGGCTCATCTGGAAAATGAGGATAATCACCGCCCGGCTACCGCAAGAGACGGCTGAGGGGATCAAAGCAGATATGACTAAATGCGCTTGTGGAAACACTGAGGGACTCAAAACGAAGATTAGCATTTTCTGAATCATCCAGGCCCACCCCGGGGTCGTGGTTGAGGTGTCTGAACAGACCTCCTCTGCTCTTGAGCTCTGTGATCTGGTCTCCAACCCCTGGTTTCCTTAAAACACACACACACACTCATACACACATACACTCACACACACACATACCTCACACACACACTCACATACACACACACATACCTCATACACACCCACACACACCTCACACACACCCACACACATACAGTCATACACACATACCTCATATGCACACACCAAATACACCCATACACCCACACTCTCCCACATACACATTCACACACTTACACATATACACTCATACACACACCACCTCATACACACACACCTCATACACACTCATACACACATTCACACACACACACGTACACTCACACACACACACACACTCACACACAGACACGGCAGACAGCTGAAGTCAAAACAGCCGAGGTACCTGACCTGTGGGGAGAACAGACACTGACCAGCGCCCACCTGCTGCCACTGGGGGCGATATGCTGGGAAGAACTTGGGGGCTGGGCCATGTTACGAGCCCGCTGCCGCCCTGAGGTGCGTCTGACTCTGCGATTGCCAAATCAGAGCTGGCATCCCTTCCCTGCTCTTTTCCCCCTCATGTTTCTTCCTTCTCCCGGGGGAAAACATCCTAAAAACAGAGCCAAATCAAGCCAAAAAAAATGTTTAAGTGCAGGTTTCAGAAAACAATGCTGACTAGATGCTGGAAAGCCTACCGCAGCTGGGCCATGCTAACGCCTCGCGTTCAAGTTAGAGAGGCGGGTGTCTGTCATCACCGGTGCTAAGACCACAGCGCACACTTGTCCCGTGCTGGGTGGCGCCCTTCAGGGAGCAGTGACAAAGTCATGCGCGTCCAGAGAGAGGCATCAGGATGCCCCGGCCGTGGGGAGCCACACTCTCTGAGGACTACTACAGAACTAGCCGTGAGATAAAGAACAAGCTGATGAGATAAAGTGACGACCAGGTACCGCACAGGGGAAGCTGCCTCCATCCCCTTGCTCCCGCGAGCAGAGGCCGGATTGCTGGCTGGAGGCCACGGGGATGACGACGACGGAGTGGAGCAGTGACACAGGGTCTGCGCACCATGAGCCCCAGCCCGGCTCACCAACTCGGTGACGTGGGATGGGGCACAGCGGTACACCTGAAATGTGCGGCAAGCCCGTGACCTCGGCAGCCCTGTTCCGCTGTGAAGTCTTCAGAACCATGATACTAAGCGAATCTGGGTACAAAGCTGCTGACCCAGCATCTAATCATGCATTTGATCACACTGGGTAGGCACGGGGCTGGAGCCACTGATTGGGTGGAACATTCCTTTAACAAGTCCCTTGGAATGCAACAGCCCTCCGGTGATCCCGGCTGACAACTCATTCTTTCCAGTCACGAGCTGGGGCAACTAGAGACCATTATGGCCCCTCTGAGCCAATCAGAGACGCCAGCTCAAAACCCTGCATAAGAATGGAGTTCGACACTTAGATCAGCGTGTCCCATCTAGCAATGACTGAAGCCTCAGCGAACCGCCAGAGGGTAGGAGCCCAAGATGTTCACGTCCCACGGAGAAAGAGTTCTGTTTCAAATTTTTAATTTTTGAATCAATAAATACAATCTTTAAATATCTTTCCTATGGCACACCTAGCTGCATGCCCCTCAGGTCTCCCTGTAAGAGAGAACCTGTTCGTCAGCTTCGAGGAGTGGGGTTAAACAAAGGCTTCAACTGCAGTACTTGGGATCCATGAGCCCCGGAGTCCGGACACGCCCCTCCCTGCAGCTCCCAGGCAAGGGCTGAGCCCAGCAGGGCACGATGCTCTGGCACTTCTGCCCACGATGGGCGAACTCTGCACTGGTGCCCTTGGGGCCAGACTTCTCAGAGATGCAGTCCATCTTCCTGCCCCACCCCCTTCCCACTCTTCATTCATATGTACTCACATCAGGCCTGCTCCTTATCTTACAAGCATTACCCCCAAAACAACTCTTACATTTCTGACTCCATCCCACTGTCTGCTTCTCCAAGGCTACAACCAACACATGTGCCCAAAATAACTAGAGAGCATCCGAGTGTGTTTGGAGTTCACAGAAGCAAGAGTGCAAGATAAGTGTGCTCTCAATGCTGGGCTGGCTTATCACTCAAGGTGTCAGCAGCTGCCTTGTGGGGTTTGGACACCATGAGGCATTAGACAGATTTCATCTCCGTTATTTCATATTTCATGTATACTCCATGTTGATGACTATGTAAAAATGAACAACACAAGAAATACTGATGCTGGGACTTCCCTGGTGTTCTAATGGTCAAGAAGACACTTTTCAATGCAGAGGACACAGGTCCAATCCTAGGTCGGGGAACTAAGATCCCACTTGCTGGGGGACAACCAAGCCGTGCACCCCAACTACTGAACTCATGTACAGATAAGACCCAAGGCAGCCAAGTAAACAAAATAAAGTAAATATTAAAAAAAAAAAAAAAGAAACACTGATGTTGGCATGTGACTTCCTGAGAAAGTGATAAGGAGATGTTAAAAAAAAGAAACGAGGGCCTACTTTAAGGGGTTCTACTGGTCAAATCTGGTAGGAGCTGGGCAAAAAAAATGAATAATAATAATAGATTCTAACCCTGAGAAATGCTTGCTCCTTGGAAGAAAAGCTATGACAAACCTAGACAGCATATTAAAAAGCAGAAACATTACTTTGCTGACAGAGGTCCGTCTCGTCAAAGCTATGGTTTTTCCAGTAGTCACGTATGGATGTGAGAGTTGGACCATAAAGAAAGCTGAGTGCGGAAGAATTGATGCTTTTGAACTGTGGTGTTGGAGAAGACTCTTGAGAGTCCCTTGGACTGCAAGGAGATCCAACCAGTCAAACCTAAAAGTAATCAGTTCTGAATATTCACCGGAAGGACTGATGCTAAAGCTGAAACTCCAATACTCTGGACACCTGATGCGAAGAACCAACTCATTTGAAAAGACCCTGATGATGGGAAAGATTGAAGGCAGGAAGAGAAGGGGACGACAGAGGATGAGATGGTTGGATGGCATCACCGACTCTATGGACATGTGTTTGAGTAAACTCTGGGAGTTGGCGATGGACAGGGAGGCCTGGTGTGCTGCAGTCCATGGGGTTGCAGAGAGTCGGACACAGCTGAGTGACTGAATTGACTGACTGCACCCCGAGAAAAGTGAGAACCCCAAACCCATTCAACTGTAAATAAAATGATGAATAAATGGGTGCAGGAGATGAGACAGCTTCTCCTTGCACAGAATGCCAACAAATAAGTGTAAAAGCAATAATGAAACTTGTAAGGCACTGGTTGGTAATAATGATTTCAGACAAGAGTCGTCGAGTGGCTGAATGTTTGGCAAGAAAAAGGACATTTGCAGTGTCTCAGAGTATCTCCCCATAAGACAACACCTCTTAGTTACAAAGGAGGAATAGCAACCTCACAGTAGAGGAAGTTGGCAGATGCCATCCAGAACAAGGGGTCAAAGTGAACATGGGGACTTCCCTGGTGGTCTAGTGGTTGAGAATCCGCCTGTCAATGCAGGGGACAGGGGTTCGATCCCTGGTCTGGGAAGATTCCACATACTGTGGGGCAACTAAGCCCACAGGCTGCAAGTACTGAAGCCCTTTTGCCTTAGAGACCAAGACTCTGCAACAAGAGAAGCCACCACAGTGAGAAGCTGGTGCACCACAACTAGAGAGTGGTCTCCACTCACTGCAAGGAGAGAAAAGCCTGTGAGTAGCAAGGAAGACCCAGCACAGTCAGAAGCAACTACTTATTTTAAAAAGTGAATGTGGGCAAGAACAGGACAAAGACCTACCACATGTGTCCTGACATGATGCCCCAAAGACATGGCATTGCTCCCCCAGGTGCTCCTGCCAAAGTACAAAGCCTGGGTCTCATCATAAGGAAGCAACCAGCAATCTAAGCTCAAGGGGTGGGGGGGTGGGGTTACACTAAGAAGTAGATGGCCTGGATCCCAAGGAGGTATTTGCACACCCATGTTCAAAACAGCATTATTCACGTTAGCCAAGAAGTGGAAACAACCCAGATGTATCTAAATGAACAAATACATAGAATGTAGTCTCTCCACATAGTGGAATATTACTCAGTCTGTAAGGACAAAGGAAATTCTGAGGTCTGCTACACAGGGATGAATTGTAAGGACACTGTGTTGAGTGAAAAAAGTCAGTTGCCACAAAGACAGAAATATAGATTAATGAAACAAAATAGGAAGTCCAGAGATAAATCCACACAGCTATGGACACCTTATCTTTGACAAAGGAGGCAAAAATACACAATGGAGAAAAGACAGTCTCTTTAACAAGTGATGCTGGGAAAACTGGTCAACCACCTGCAAAAGAATGAAACTAGAACACTTTCCAACACCATACACAGAAATAAACTCAAAATGGATTAAACGTCTAAACGTAAGACCAGAAACTATAAAACTCATAGAGAAAAACATAGGCAGGACACTCTCTGACATAAATCACAGCAAGATCTTCTATGACCCACCTCCCAGAGTAATGGAAACAAAAACAAAAATAAACAAATGGGACCTAAGTCAACTTAAAAGCTTCATTTGCACAACGAAGGAAACTATAAGCAAGGTGAAAAGACAGCCTTCAGAATGGGAGACAAAACAACTGACAAAGAATTAATCTCCAAAATGTACAAGCAGCTCATGCAGCTCAATACCAGAAAAATGAACAACCCAATCAAAAAATGGACAAAAGAACTAAACAGACATTGCTCCAAAGAAGACATACAGATGGCTAATAAACACACGAAAAGATGCTCAATATCGCTCATTATCAGAGAAATGCAAATCAAAACCACAATGAGGTATCATCTCACGCCATCATCAAAAAGTCGACAAGCAATAAGTGCTGGAGAGGGTGTGGAGAAAAGGGAACGCTCTTACACTGTTGGTGGGAATGCAAACTGGTACAGCCACTATGGAGAACAGTGTGGAGATTCCTTAAAAAGCTGGGACTAGAACTGTCATACGACCCACCAATCCAACTGCTGGGCATACACACCGAGGAAACCAGAATTGAATGAGACACGTGTATCCCAATGTTCACTGCAGCACTGTTTACAATAGCTGGGACTGGAAGCAAGCTAGATGTCCACAGGCAGACAAATGGATAAGAAAGTTGTGGTACATATACACAGTGGAACATTACTCAACTATAAAAAGGAACACATTTGAGTCAGTTCTAGTGAGGTGGGTGAACCTGGAGCCTATTATACAGAGTGAAGTAAGTCAGAAAGATAAACACAAATACTGTATATTAACACATATATATGGAATTTAGAAAGTAACTATGATCCTATATGCAAGGCAGCAAGAGAAACACAGACATAAAAAACAGATTTTTTGACCCTGTGGGAAAAGACAAGGGTGGGGTGATTTGAGAGAATAGCATTGAAACATATGTATCAGCATATGTAAAAGAGACGATCAGTGCAAGTCCGATGCATGAAGCAGGGCACCCAAAGCCGGTGCTCTGGGACAACCGAGAGGGATGGGGTGGGGAGGAAGGTGGAAGGGGGATTCAGGATGGGGCACACATGTGTACCCATGGCTGATTCATGTCAATGTGTGGCAAAAAAAAAAACCATCACAATATTGTAAAGTGATTATCCTCCAATTGAAATAAATTAAATAATTTTTTTTTTAAAGTTAGTTGCAAAAGAACAAATACTGTATGATTCCACTTCCATGTCTGCTCCAGGTGAGGCAGTGTGGATGGGTGGAGAGAAAGAGACAGGCAGGCAGAGGAGTGAAGGGAAAAGGGAAAGAAAGAAAGAGACTCAACCCTCTAGGTTGTCCCAGAACACAGGTTTGAGCTCCTTGAGTCTCACAGTAAATTCCCACTGGCTACCTATTCTACATATAGTAGTGTATATGTTTCCATACTACTCACCTAGAGGGGTGTGATGGGGTGGGAGGTGGGAGGGAGATTCAAGACATAGGGAACATATGTATACCTATGGCTGATTCATGTTGATGTATGGCAGAAACCAACACGATATTGCAAAGCGATTACTCTTCAATTAAAAATAAATTATTTTTAAAAGGAGAAACAGAAAAAAAAAGAAAATCAATAAATTCTTAAGAAAAGAGAAAGACTCAGAAATCAAATAGGGTAAATGTGAACCTTTGCAAAATCTGGGTGGAGGTTATCTTGCAAGGCTTTGTGCTATTTTTGCAACTTTCATGTAACTCTACGATTATTTCAAAACAAAAAATAAAACTCAAAAAAATTTTAAGTTCACAAAGGGCCTAAAATGGTAGCAATTCTGCACATTTACTTCAAAAGGTTCTTCCTTGGGGTTGGAATTTACACATATCTGATCAAATCAAGGCATCTCTCATAGGTCAAAACCTAATGGTTATTATAAAACATATAATTGCAATTACATTTAATTCAACTTTTCACTTGTTGACAACAAAAGACCTGCCACGCAGCAAACAGGTAATTTGTGCAGAAGCTGCCTAGAACAGTTGTTACCTAATATCTCTCTCCTCATTAACCGTATTTTAAATGGTGTAACCTAAGCCACGTCATGTGTATTACATTATATTAAACAGTGTAACATAAGCTGTCATATATATTATACTATTTAAATACTACAAAATTACATATGCCAAAATACCACCGGCTCAAAGGATGCCTGGCTTTTTGCTTTTAAAACACTCTGCAAAAGTCCTTCAAACACCTCCATGTCGTCTCACTAGGCAGAACTTGGTCGTAGAGCCAGTCACACTAGCCACCAACTCAGGGGGGAACTCAGTCTTTTAACTGAACTCTCTGCCCAAGACTCTGCTGCTCAGAAAGTAGGGGTGCATGGATGTTGGGGGAATGTTAACAATCTCTGCAATAGCATCCTTTTCTGCTTACACAGTTTTTCAACAAACATCTCTCAGGAGACATGGTCTTTAATCACAAGAAGAGTGGGGAAAGATATTAAGCTTTGTACTCAGACAAGACTGACAATGCTTATACATTCAACTTCCACACTAACATTTTTTGGGGGTGGGGGACACACCACTCAGCTTGCAGACTTCTAGTTCCCCAACCAGGGTTTGAACCCTTGCCCTCCAAAGTGAAAGTGTGGAGTGCTACCCACTGGACTGCTAGGGAGCTCCCGACAGTGCCATTCTTGAACTCACTTGTGGAAAATTCATGTTTCCCTTCCATAACTAAAGTAAATCAAATAGCATGTGTTAGTAGTAAAAGACAGAACGTTGAAGATTTATTTCAATGGATGTGGAGACGCCCCTCCAGAAGGAAATGGCAACCCAATCCAGCGTTCTTGCGTGGAGCATCCCACGGATAGAGGAGTCTGGCGGGCTACAGTCCATAGGGTCGCAAAGAGTCGGACACGACTAAATGACTAAGCACGCAGGCGTAGGTGGAGCCGCGGCCCACCATGTGCCCTCCAGCACTTCCACGCTTGCCCCTGGCTGACCAAACCTCAAAAGGGCAGATGGGGGAGGCAGAAATCCCCATCTCCCAGACTGAGCACTGGTCCAGCCGCATCAGAGAGGAGGTGGGCGGGACCCCAGGACCACCTTTGAGAACTGGTCTTCTTCCCCCACCCTCCACGCCCCCTCTGTGGCCGGCCGTTTTTAGGGCCTGTTCTCTCCTTCCTTATCAGACTAGCTTCCCGAAAAGACTGCATCACACCGAATTAGCTTATCAGTGGTTTCTGGTTGGCTTAGCACGTCTCCCCTCCTGTGGTCCTTGACTTACCCGGCATCCAGCCCTTAAGCTGAAGAGACAGCTCGTCAGGCGTTGACCCTGAGGCCCTGCATGAAGGGGTGGGCTTGGGACTGGCCTCTTGTGGCTGGAGTCTGCTCCCGGGGGCTGATCTCTTCTCGGGGTCGGGGGGGGGACCCTTAAGCACCTTCAAGTTTGCGGCTGAGTGGGGGTGCTCTTTCCCTTGGTCTTTGGGAAACTGGCCTGAGCCACTCAGCATCCTGACCCGGGCCACCCCAGCTCCCTGCCTCCACAGTTAGAATGATACCCCCACCCAGAGGAGGGGGAGGCACGAGGCTGGTGGCAGGGGGTGCAGGCGAGCCCCGCTCACCTCGGGCCAGAGCGGGGAGACAGCCGGCTCCACAGGAAGCCTCTGGGTGCAGAGATCAAGGGAAGGACACCCCCAGGGATGCAGGGAGCCCAGCATGCTAAGCGACCTCCATGGTGAGCTGTCAGAAACCCACCACCAGGGAGTAAGGAGGAAAAGGACAAGTGCCAGAGACACAGAAGTCCCTGACCCAGATGCTGTCACTGCCAAGCTGAGTGCGTTTTTGACGCTGTCATGTGCCACACATGAGGTGTACTGCTGGTAACAGAATATGGGGACGAGGGAAGGACACCTAAAAGTAATGCCGCTGGGATACAGAGCAGATGTGGTTGCCAGGAGGGGTAAGGGGAGGGAGGGACTCGGAGTTTGGGATTAGTAGATGCAAACTATTATATGGGGAAGGGATAAACAGCAAGGTCTTACTGTATAGCACAGAGAACTACATTCAATATCCTGTGATAAACCACAATGGAACAAAATATGAAAAAGAATATACATATATATATGTACGTATAACTGAATCACTTTGCTGTACCCCAGAAACTTACAAATGAACTATACTTCAATCACATTTTTTAAAAACAATGCTGGTGGAATCTCAACTTTCTAGAATATATTAAGTATGTCTATAGACCAGAAGGACTTCCCAGGTGGCACTAGTGGTTAAGAACCTGCCTGCCAATGCAAGAGATGTAAGAGATGCTGGTTCGATTCCTGGGTCAGGAAGATCCTCTAGAGGAGAGCATGGCAACCCACTCCAGTGTTCTTGCCTGGGAAATCCCACGGACAGAGGAGCCTGGTGGGCTACAGTCCATGGGGTTGCAAAGAGTCAGACACTTATTGAAGAGACTTAGCACACGTACATATACCAGAAATGATGAATCTCGGTGGTTGAATTATAGGTGATTTTCATCTTCATGATGAAAGGCATAGCTCAGTTGGTAAAGAATCTGCCTACAACGCAGGAGACCCTGGTTTGATTCCTGGGTTGGGAAGATCCGCTGGAGAAGGGATAGGCTACCCACTCCAGGATTCTTGGGCTTCCCTTGTGGCTTAGCTGGAAAAGAATCTGCCTGCAATGCGGGAGACCTGGGTTGGGAAGATCCCCTGGAGAAGGGAAAGGCTACCCACTCTAGTATTCTGGCCCGGAGAATTCCATGGACTAAGTCCATGGGGTCACAAAGAGTCGGACACGACTGAGAGACTTTCACTCACTTTCATCTTCATTAAGTGAAAATATTGTAAGACTCTTTATAAAGACTAGAACACAATACTATAACAACTACTTGATAAAACAGCTACCATGTATCCCAAGCACTGCATCTGGGCCAAGTTCTGTGCTCAAGTTTTATATGTTATTTTTTCAACAACACAATCAGGTAAGTAATGGTATCACTAGTTTTCAGAGAAAGAAATCCAGGTTGAGAGGTAAAGTCCTGAACCAGCTCACACAATGGGGATACCAATCCCAATGTGTCTGCTACAAATAGTCCGTGCAGTCATCCACCATGAAATGAAACCCTTTTTAAGGACATATATGCCTGTGTGTGAATCAGGTTAAAGGGGGCAGAGAAAGAGGGAAAGGCAGTGGATCTGGGGTGAGGGTCTGCCAGGGAGCCCCCATGTCACCCAGAGGAAGGGCTGTGGTCAGCAGGCCTCACCATCTCTTATCACCTGTTTGCTGATCCTGGACCATTTTCCTAGAGGAAGATAAAGACGCTCATTTCTCCGTCTGACCTTCGGTGCAAAAGTGGGTTGAATAACACTTGAAGTAAAACAACAGATACAGTACAGGACTAGCAAATTAGCAGGCAGAGATGAAGGCGTCTTCTGATTGCCTCCTTCCTGGTTTTTTTGGAAAGGGAACTCAGGATCCCCAGGTTGGAGGCTGGAGGGGTCAGAAGGAGATGAAATCCCTCAACCTAGTAGTTTAGCTGTGGGGCAAGTCTGGGACAGAACACAGCTGTGCCCAATAGGGATTACTCTGGCACTTCCTGAGATGTGTTAAACTGTGTGACGCATCACACAATACTAAAAGCAGCCTTCTTCCGAAGGAGTTGGAACCGAGAGGCCGCAGACCCCCCACAGCATGTGCCCCCAGAAGAGGGGCCAATATCAGGCACTGTGGATGAGGGGGGCCCCTGCAGAAATAGCCCAGCCTGCCCGCGATGCTTCATCTGTGGACTGCAGGTTGAAACAGTTTCCACAATCCTCACAAAGCAATGAGAGATCAACTCAGGATGGAAAGACAGAACTGGACGGCCTCGTGGGCTAGTACGAGATGGAAGGCCGCTTCAGCAGGAAGCTCTCCAGGGCACGACCTGGTCCCCCAAGCATTTCGCCCACCGGAGCCTCATGCAAAGCCAGACCTCAGCCTCCTGGCTACTTCCATCAGGTTCATTGTGTCGTAAGATTCAGTAACTTGAGGTCGCAGGCTGCTAGGCTGGATAATCTGGAGGGGGGTGAGGATAGGGAGGGCGCTGGGGGAGGGAGAGAGTGAACACTCAAAACTGGTCACTGAGCATGAACCGTGATACAGATCTCTGGTTCTCTGCATCAGGAACACACGAAAACCATCCAGAGCACATCTTTTAAACATCTGATGTGTAAACTCCGTGCTAGACCCCTTTGATCAGGGCTGCTGGGTGGGGTTTAGGCTTCGCAATTTTTTAAAGCCTTTCAAGCGATGCCCGGGTCTAGCCAAATACAGATTCCAATTTGCACCACACCTAACCAGCCCGGTGCCGGGCTTCAGGTTGGGGCTACGGGACTGGGAGAAGTTGGCAGCATCTGATCACACGTGTCTTATACTGTGTTCAGGAAACCAGCGTACATGCATGGGAAGAAACCAGTAAACACAGTCCCTGTGGAGTCTGTTGGTGTTCTGGAGACTCGTGAGCAAAAGCATCTAGAATAAGAGAAGTCCTCAGAGTCAGTGCTTCTGCTGTACCTACAGCCCTATCTCCTCCATGGCCGATGACCCCTGGGCAGCTCAGAAGCCTGCTCTTGTGTCTTTTGTTTTGCCTTTGAGGGTGAAGAACTGGGTTGACCTTCTCCAGGAAGGCTGGATAAACTCTTAGGATACTAAACTACTAGGTGGTTCCCAGAGAAAACTCCCTCTTGCCTGCTACGCCAGGCGAGAAAAGTCCCCCGAAAGGCCATTTGCCCACGAGGTCTGTTCAACCAGGAGAGAGGAGGAGACTCACTGGGAGCCCCACCCTCACACCCTGTGAGAGCCCAGGGGTGGCGGGTATGGGGATGGGCCTGGGTGTGTGTGTGCATGTGTGTGCGCATGTGTGTATGCATGTGTGTGTGCACGCAGAGCTCTGCTGCTTCTCTGCTGCAGGGCTTGGCCATGTCCACTTTCTGAGGTCACCAGGGTGACCATGGGGACAGACGGACACTCTGGCTGACCCTGCAGTGGAGCAAGTGGGGTCTCTGGGGCAGCGGTAATGGTGTTGCACTGTCTGGCAAAGACTTGGCCCTCTGTCTTCTGACCCTGGACTGGATGACAAACCTTACCCACACTTGGGCATCTGTCAATGGGTACTTTGGGTTGCTCTGGCCTTTGCATTTGCTGTCAATGAGCTTGGGTGTACAAACATCTGTTTGAGTCTCTGCTTTCACTTCCAGTTCTAGTTCAAACCTGTGAGGATCCGTCTCAGTATTGTTATGAGTAGGCTGTGCCTTAGTTTGAGGAACACATGCAACAATTTGTCATGTTCCAGGGAACTAACACACAGAGTAGACCATCTTCACCTGAATTCTTAAAAGGAAGGCCGTCAGGACTTCCCTGATGGTCCGGGGGTTAAGAGTCCACCTGTCACTGCAGGGGACAATGGTTCGATCCCTGGTCTAGAAGGTTCCACATGCTGAGGTGCCACTAAGCCCGTGAGCCACAACTGCTCAGCCTGCTGGCCCGCGAGCCCGTGCTCTGCAACAAGAGGAGCCAGCGCAGTGAGAAGCCCTCACCCTGTAACTAGGGAGTAGCCCCCACTCACCGCAGCAAGAGAAAGAAAGAAAGTGAAGTCGCTCAGTCACATCCGACTTTTTGTGACCCCATGGACTGTAGCCTACCAGGTTCCTCTGTCCATGGGATTTCCAGGCAAGAGTACTGGAGTGGGTGGCCATAAGCCCATGACAAAGACTCTGTGCAGCCAAAGATAAAATAAATAAATTTATTAAAGTTTATTCTTAAAAGAGTAAGGCATCAGAGTACAAATTGCATATACCCCATGATCAACTTTTTGAAAAAAAAGAGGAAATTCCTGGAAGTGATAACAAAGCTACTTCTGTGTTACGGAATTATGGGTGATGCCTTTCTTTCTTTGCACTTTCCTGCCCTTTCTACACGAGCCTGTCCTATTGTTATCCTTAGGGGGGAGAAACAGTAGTGTGTTTTTCACTTGGTCCAAATTCCTTAGGACTGCCTGCTGTCCGGGAGTCAACACTGACGTACGTACACATCATTCATTCATTCAAACTAACACTAATTCCAGAGATTTTTAGAAGCCGGTTACTCTGAATGGCTGAGTGCCCAGAGTCCAGTCATTTCCATGCGATCACTTAGCCTGATCTCACTCTGCATCTGTGAAAGGATGTGCCCAGTCTGGAGCTGGTCACGGGCCTGTCACTTAGGGGCCCAGCGGTCAACTCATCACTCTCGAAGCTGGAGAGTGCCCTGGGCTCCAGCGCCACCCCTGCTGGTGACCTCGGCTGAGCCTGGCTCAGGTGCCCATCTCTGTATTTCTGTACCCCATCCCTCCCGTACCCACTTGCTCAGACAGCAGGATTCCTGCCCACCTCAGGCTCCTGGGGCGCCACCGAGTACACCGTTTAAAAACCCAGCCCAGTGGAACTCAGGGTCCCTTCTCTTCCCCCACCTTCTGCCT